CCTAGAAAAATTATATTTGCGCCGAAGGAGCACTGCCTCTCATATATATATGAATAAAAGCACATCCCAGTGTAACAACCAACTACGAATGAACTTGAATTTCGAATACGTTTTATAAAAACTCCAAAGTTTCACTACCTTTTAATCTCCGAAATTTCATCAATAACTTTGTCAAGTACCTTTCGGAACTAGACCAAGGTATTTATGAGCAATAACTGTTAGAAAACAAAGTTTTTATCTTAGTATAAATAATAACTGCAAGAAAATGTCTTAAAAGACTAGCATGGAGCCTCTGTGGGATGTTCCAATGGAGCAGTAGCATCGCGGGATGGTACCTATATTACCATATGGTAAAATACTGATGTTCCGTACACTTATTCCTGTTCTGTCGAACATAGTACGTTGGGGTAATTGGATTATAATAAAGCACACAAAGGCTATTTGTCTAAAGGGAGGTATGCCTTTGTGAAGGAAGTTTTTAAGTTAAATTGGCTCGTACCCGCATTGGACATGGCAAATGCCATGAAAGCTCCTATGAAGCCAGGTCATGGGCCAGGGTTTGATCAGATTTTAGCTCAACAATATGTGTGAACATGGCTGCTATAGGTACTTGGTTTCTGGAGCATGTGATTTCCCGATTTTTGAGATCTAATCTGTCTTACATATTCACTGTACATTGCTCCTTTTGATGCTCTCCTTTGGAAACTCTGATGATGATGTCGTGTCTATGACAAAGTGCAATTATATAGCTTCGAAGCTGTCAAAGACAGCTTTTGCAACCTCCGCAGCTCTATCAGTATAAAGTAAGTTTACAGGGTCTTCAAAGCCTATGTTAAAGAGTCTGGCCTGGATTGTTGGGCAGCTGAAGATGTGATGGCGAGACAGTGGGATGTCATCTGGGCAATGAGGACAAATGTTGGTGTAACTACGCTGTCCGTCTGCAGAAATCCTCATCTCAGTGATTTGTCCTAAGTCTAGTTATGATAGTCGGTATGGCTCTGTCACAGTTCAATTCCGGGATGGAGTTTCCTTTAACTTGACCGATTAGTCTTTGGCTGGCAACTAACTGCATTGGCATAAACGAGGGTTAGGCAGTTAGATGGCTGAGGAGAATCACGGGATGCCTTTGCAAGCTCATCGGCCTTCTCATTACCAAAAATATTTACATGAGCCGGTATACATTGTAAGATGCAGGATCTTTGGGCAGCAATGATTTTGTTTCTGAGCTCAATGATCTGATAACTGAGTTGACAATTGCCCTTCTGGATCGCTTGCAATGTTGATCTGTAATCAGAGATGATAATGATGCCCTTGGAACCCGGGTCTTCTTTAGAGAGGTAAATCTCCAGAACACTTTTGATGGCGAAGAGCTCGCATTTATAGTTGAAGGCGAATTCCCAACAGGAATACTGTGGCATTTCTGCACTCCGTCTGATCCGATGAAAAAGACTCCCGCTCCTCCTCTGTTCAGATTGGAGTCGGAAGAGCTGTCTGTATAGGCGATCGTCTGATCTTGAGTTAAGGTCGTGAGTTCCTCAATGGTATGGTCACCCTTTTCTTTGATTATTGCGGTGGGATCATTCTTGGTACAAGACTGTAAGAGATTTAAATAAATTTTTGTTTGGGGGAGAGGGCACAGAATAATGTAAGGCTTTTTGGAAATTTTGAGAGTCTCATATTTGAGGTTGATGTCATTTCTAATATCTTGGTCATGTTGGAGGGTTGAGGATCTCTTAAGCCTGCAATTGTCACTCCATGCCCTGAAGGTTCTACTTGAGATATGATGTTCAGCATGATCCATTTGAAAGGAGTTATGTACAAATGCAAGCCAGCAATACTTCAAGGACTCAAAGACCCAGGAGATTGAAAACGTAATATTCCTCATTACGTCTTGACGTTGCTATCTCATAGAAAGCTTCAGGACGCAATTTTAACAATGCATGCAGTATAATAGAGACTATTTGAAAACCATTCATTTACAACAGACACAAGAAAGCAGATTGTTCAGAATATAATATCCAAATAGTGTGCATTAGGGGTATACCAATATAATTTTATTCATAGGATGAGTTTTCATTTTATTTTGAAACCCTTCAATTTCTCTACTTAACCATGTTAATAAATTATTCAATTTTTTTCAAATATAAGTAATTCATTTACAATGTAATTAACTGCACTTCACATAATTGCACTTACTTTTAACTATAAATGCAATGTAATTGCAATTACAATTAAAACAGTTATTATAATTATAGCAATTAGATGTCAATTAATTCATTTACAGTTGTTATAACAATTACAATTACAATGTACCATGCATCAAGCCAAGTTGTGTATTCATTGTTCTATAGTCAATTATATTTAATTTTATTAAAATGTAATTATATTATAAATTGTAAAAAAAAATGCAGCATAGTTGTTATTGCAGTTATTTCAGTTACAATATAATTGTAACTGCCCGATTTATAATTATAATTACATGGCGATTACGACTATGATAAAAATTACAGCTGAAATGATAATTATACTGTATGTACACCTTGAGAGGGAAAAAAAGGGACAGTTCTATATCTCCCGTTCTATTGGACCGATTGTCCGAATTTAACTTGCGTTTTCCATGTTTTGAAAGCGCAAATTAGGATATGTGTTAGGTTTATATAGAGCATTATTCTAATATAGGTATTTTGACTCAAAATAGGACTTTTTCCAGATATAACATACCAGTATTTTTCCATATTTCGATTCTAAGATTCAAATTATGCCTAGATATTAAATTTTGAAACTTTTCGTGCGAAATTTCTGGAGAAATCTAAAAATTTATCTCGGCACATTTTTTTTTTTTTTTTTTTCAGTTTGCGACAAGAGTAATTCCCTTCGCGAACTTCTTAACTTATGGCAACATTCTCCATTTTCCTTTCATTACAATCGAACGGGGGAGGAGCGAAAGCATAAATTTACTCTTTATAAACATTCAAAGAAAAAAAAATAACTAAAATATTTATTATAAAATTTAAAATAAAATAAAATCTGAAAGCTTTCAGATTTTACATTACGCCCAAAGGGCGTTTTTTTAACGGTTTTTGTGTTACCTTTATTTATTAAATATCATGTTCTTCACTCTTGAACCATAAAATTCAGTTCAACAGCAATATCGCAAAATAATTTTAAAATCAGCAGTATCTTTAGAATATCCGATATACAGTCTCTCGCGTTGGAGATAAAAATGTTTTTTTTTACTTCCTTGTACGAAGTAAAAAGGAAGTATTGTAATCTCGAAAAGTTTCAGGCAGCATATTTCAACGAAAATATCCATTTTGACCGCTATCGAATGCAATTTAACGATGTTTTTGCATGATATCTGTACTTAAGGACAGAATAAAATACTCTTTTCCTTGAAAAAAATTATAAAACTGCTTTAAAATGAATTCTGAAGAGAATTTTTCGTGGCGTCTGTACAAACGTATGTACGTACGTACGTGCGTGCGTAGGTACGTATCTCGCATAATCCAAATATAGGACTGCTATAACATGTAGATGTGCACCTCGTATTTTGGTTGCAATCGGCCGCACCAAACGTATATAAATATATTTATATATATATCCACTCTGTTACCTGGCTCAGTGATCTCAGTTTCTTTTCTCTTATATGTTCGTAAATTGTACATTTTTTGCTTTAAAAATGATTGAATTACGTTGTTTTTATCTTCCGGTTAAGGATTTTATTTATGTCTTTAGTAAATCTGTGTGCAATATTTTTAGAATTATCAGCAATTTTAAAGTTGTTTAATTGCCGCTAAGCCTTTTTTAATGGCGGCCATTGATGTTTACATTTGAAACAGGAGACTAGCGGATTTGTTGCCAATCTAGAGAAACTTAGCTTCGGAACAACAAAGATAACGCATTCATTTATTATTGCCAATTAAATCATGCTTAATTCTTTCTGTAATTTTTTCGAGGAAATAAGTGTTTGAGATTTACTTCGTAATTTTTAATATAAATATTTTGAGTTTTTATGTATTTTTGCTTTCTCGCGAAGTGAGAACTGAATTAATTAAATGAGAAATACTCAATCGTCTATGAAAAACTGTTTCTTTTTTGCTTTCTTTGCTTAATTTCTTTTATACATCATTCTAGCTTTATTATAGTATTTGAATAGAACATGTGGCAACGATTCGATAATTCTATTCTTTAAATGATATAAATTTTGTGCATAATGAGTCATAATATGAGCGAAATATATAAGTTAACTGTTATATAATTATTGGATTATATAGCAGTTAACTTAGTTTCTGCTATATAATTATTATATAAGTTAACTGTTATATAATTATTAATACTGTTAAGTGAATCTAGCGCCAGTGTCGCTATGGTAAACAAATCCTAGAGTGAATTTTAAAGAATTCATTTATTCCATTGTGGTTTATGCGCTGTCGGCGAAGTAGATTTAATTCAATTCAATAAGTTTAAATGAAATGCAAGAAAAAAATGCGTATAATTTAATATTCCAATACAAGGAAGTCATGTGGTGTACACATCAGATTTTTTCGTACAGTGTTGCCATTGCTCGCTTTTGAAATTGTTGAGTTTGTTAATCAAAAATTCTTTAAAGTTTTAAAAAATAAGAAATAGATAATAAAACAAATTCCAAATTTGGGCTTCCAGCTTAGAAATATATCTACTTTAAGATGATGGTAAACATGTTATAGATTATAATCCAAAAGTTTATCGAAAAATTTATAAAAATTATATAAAAATACAAATTTAAAAAATAAATCATAAAAAGTGGGTGAATTTTGAAATCATAAAAAATTATTTAAGTTTCCCAACTCTGTCTGATAGTACAGGCGCGTTTCAAGAACTGTTGAATAGCAAAACGTAAACGTCTGCACAAGGACTCAATGAAATAGCTAAAATACATTTGATGAATGAATTAGTGTTATTTCACCAGTGTTATTTCAACATTGTTGGTTTTGCCTTCGTATAATGCAATTTCAACTTACCCTTGTTTCTTGCTTTCGCAACATGAGGTATTTTTTTTCAGCTCCTTATTTTCAGGAACTGTATTTTCTTTCTGGGCAGTAAATTCCTTTTGTAAATACTGAAGCAATTTGTCGATACCGAAATCAAATTTCGGCTTCCTGACTTGAATATCGATGTTAGTTGCCCGTCGTTCTGGCTGTTTAAGTTCTGGAACTTGGGCGTGATGAAAGTATTTAGCAATAGCATCACTATTGTTCGTCCTCATCTGAAGATCAGGCAATGATTCGTTGGTCGATGTGAGGAAGTTTGACAAATTGAAACCGAACAATGAACGTAATGACTCGTCTAAGTTACTCTTCTTGAAAACTGAATTGTTAAAATGTGAAGATTCAGCTTCGTATTTTTTCTTAGAGGTGAAAATGGGTGCGACAATGTCATCGAGAAGTATGAAAAACATAAGCATCGATATCTGAAAAAAAATTATTACGATGTATTTGAAAAATGTTGCACTAATAAATATCATAAATCCCACTCCTTAGCAAAATGTCGCAGATCGGTAGTTCTAGTTAGGGTTTCTCTACTACACAGTATTTTAAAATTAGGTAAAAAAGGAAATTTAGATTGTTGTAAATTTTGAATCATATTCTAATGAGTTGAATAAAACTCGACCGAATTCGATCGATATCATTGACCCCTTTTCTTCAGAATCAAGAACATCTGTAATATGCACAGAGCAAAAATCATTTACATAAGGAAAACGCGCCGAACAATGAGGAAACGAAATATAGAGTCACGCATACAAGAAATCACTAGTTAAAAGTAAAAAAAACCAATATATTGGAAATTTAAACTGGTTTGGAAAAATGGATTGGAATTAATGCCATTAACTAAAGTAGATAAAGTTTTGTAAATATGAAATATTTTAATATGACCCAATTTACCAATTGGTTCCGCGTAAATTGTTCAAAACGTTTCTTTAGGTGATGAATTCGATTCCACTGATCCAGTTTTCCTCTAAAAAACTTTAATTAATTCAATCTCAGATAATTTTAAGCCTATCCATGATGCGTTTATATTTATTGCACTAATACGTCTTATTAATAAAAACATGTTTATCACTGAATTTTGTTTTCTACGGTGCTCGAAATACAATTAAGAATTTTGTATACTATTATTAAACTGTCTGTAGTTCACACCGCTTCTGAAAGCTACTTATTTGGCTCATTTATTTTATTAGAATCTGAATCTGCAACCTTTGAAGGTATGATTAGAGGTGAAATGTTTCTGAAGCTACCTGTTGTGAAGTTATTAGGTATTTTGAAGCTGAAGGTCCAGAAAATATGTAGTATCCTCGCCAAGACTCGAACTTCCGACCTACTGACTGCTAGCCGAACGGGTTTTCCAGTCGCACTACGAAGGCAAGCATTAATGAGGGAGAAAAGCTTGACATTCTTTCCTACTGAAAGGATGACTGGGGAGGAGCGGACTCAATCGCCAATACCTGCTGGAGACGAAATATCATACGCCTCTTAGTGCCGAAGTCACTGAAGAGTCATTAGGTATTTTGAAACAGAAGGCGTGAAATACACGCTTTCACAAAAAATATATATACACCGAGAAGAAATCAAACCACAATCATGAAACTCGGCAAGAATGTAATCTGATAAGAGATATGCAAAGGATTTAAATTTCGACGTCAATGAGACAAAGGTAAGCGCGCTACGCGCATATGAGATACGCAACTGGGAGAGTTTGAAAGCATGATTACTCCTGCCGTAGGGCTATGCAAACGAATCTGTCGATTTGGATGGACGATATTGTGACTAGAGATGCCTCTGAGACGTAATCGGTGGCAGTACAAACAGTTGTCGGAGTTTGAGAAGGGACATATAATAGGCCTTAGAGAAGCAGGTTGGTCAAACAGGCGTATCGGATATGGCAGAGCGATATGGTAGTTGCTCGTTGTTGGCAATCGCAGACGGGATAGTCTATTGTCGCGGAGGGTCAGGGATTTCCAGGAAGACAAATGAGCGCGAGCATCGCGCAATCATAAGAGCGGCAACTTCCGCACTTACAACGTCGCTAACATCGATGCGACGCCATTTCCACATTTCAATCATCTGGTGGTACCAAGGGAAACCATTCGGAGATGACTGGTCGACACTGATATATGCTGCCGACGTCCTTTAAGACGCCTACCACTGATCCCACATCATAGGCAGTGTCGACTGGATTTTTGAGGCTCTCGTGCAAGATGGAATGTGACCGATTGGAGGCGTATGATCTTCAGCGATGAATTCCGATTCAGTCTCAATACTGCTGACCAACCCACACGCTTGTGGAGGCGGCCAAGCCAGCGGTCCCTTCCGGTATTTGTTGTCGAGCGGCACACGGCGATTACACAAGGTGTGGCATTGTGGGGAGCGATTTATTAGGACACACGATCACCTCTAGTCGTCCTTGAAGGCACCATGACGGCTCGCAGTTACGTGGACGATATTTTAACGCCGGTTGCACTGCCTATGCTATCAAGTTACCCAGGTGCCATTTATCAGCAAGACACGCTTGTCCACATACTGCGTGATTCTCCCAACAATGTCTTCAAGAACATAACGTACTTTTGTGGCCTGCCTTGTCACAGGCCTCTCGCTGACAGAGCACGTTTGGGGCATGCTTGGAAGGCAACTGTAGCCGTCCCGGAATATTGATGAATTAACTGCCCAGTTATAAAGATAATGGCATAATCTTCAAGGTCTGTAGGTTGTTATAGGTGATCTACTTGTCTCGATGCCACATTGTGTTCTCCCAGATGTGATTAGACTACTTTCCTATTTGTAACAGTTTTCATACCATAACATCTTAATATAATGATCTTTTATTCTGAATTTGTAATCATTTGTTTACCTCCTCATACACTACATTCATATTAAATTTCGTGTTAGTAGTTTGTTTTCTTTTGGGTGCATATATTTTTTTGTAACAGAGTGTATGTGCAATGCCTTCAGCAGAACTTGAATTCCTAACCTTCCGATTGCTTGTCGGATGTGTTTTGTAATTACACCACGAAGGCGCGCAGTTAGGAGGAAAAACACCTTACATTGCATATCAGTCCCTGTCAAATCATATAAATATATATGAGTTGACAGGGACTGCTGATATAAATCCTTGCTATCCCTGTTCATATCATTCCCTATCGCTAAGCATTATCTATACACATTCTTAATGGAAAAGGATCTCATAATGCCGTAATAAGAGTGGTAATAAAATTGGTGTCATATGTTATTGACATTATTTTTATGAAGCTGGCACGGACGATCATCAACTGTGTGGATTCCGTATAATAATTACAGGTTCGCTATGCGTATGACATTTCATAACAAAGAAACATTCCTTGTACCAGCCAGCTAGAGTTAAGATAGATATACATAATGCGATCCGTATCTTATCTTTAGTGACCATTCTGCAGTTATTAGATAGTAAAGATATCTTCGATGCTTACTAGTAATTGGTTTCTAATGCAGTGCTAATTTCGTTTCTTAATATCTCGAATATACAAATGTGTATTTTCTAACGGTCTCATATAGACCAAATGGAGGGAATTAGGGTGATTAGTGCTGTTCATGGGCTTCCACAAAAACTCTATATTAAAATTATAAGATATTTTGTTGTCTCCCCGGTTCCTGTCCGTAAAATTTGCCTTACACAACCACCTATCTCTAGTAGCACTTGAATACCTTTCACTCTGACCAATGAAAAAAATAATCACATAAACCAACATTACAGGCACTAACAGACCTGTAAGCACAAGAGCACATCAGGTAGCTGTTACTTCATCATTAACCCACCGATAACTGACTTTCAGAATTTGCCCTATTTTCTCAGTAGTTGTCGGAGTTGCTACTGAAATGAGGATTAAGCCACGACATTAAGTAGTGATAATTTACAAGATACATAAAATTAACTGACTTGAGATATTTAGAAGTATTTAATTATTTTATATATTGTAGCATTTTAAAATGTCTTCTTAACTATTAACCCTTTACACTGGAAATACTCCTCATAGTCACTGCAAAAGTTTGGCGTTGTACTTGAAATATGCTTCTCATGGACACCAACAATATACTATACAGACGATCACGCGATTATAATTTACAGTTAAATTTTAGTTGCATGTGAGATAATGTTTCGTTGATTTCAGTATTTAGTCATTTGTTTGGCCGAAAAAATAAAAAAATACTATTCACCATGAAGAAAAATGTGAAGAAGCGTTGTTTCAAGATAGCTGTAATGATAAATTTAGTGTGATGAATATCATGATTCTGATGATAGCGACATTGCAAAATAGTGATTCTAATAAAAGTGATGAAAACGTGTCAGAAAATTTAGGTAGTGTTCGTGAAAACAGATAGTGTTAGTGAAATATAAATAGTATTAGCGAAAACTGCTTTATCTGTTCAACCCAGGCAAGAAGACAAACCGTTTATTTTTGTAAATCTTGAGATCGGTAAACCAGTTCTACATCCTGCTAATTGCTTTAAATAGTATCATTACAAATAATTTATGATTAAAATTTTCATTTACAAAATGCTCACATTATGATAATAATAAAATAACCTTACAATATTTTATCTTTTAAATTTTACATATAAATTTTACCTTCAAATAAATCACATATTACATAGCCAGATACAGCAAAATGTCCGAGCTGCTGAAAGCTTTAGATGAGAAGACGTACGAGTGCAAAGGGTTAAGCATTCTAATGTTAACCACCAAATAATTAACTATTAAATTAAGTAGAACTAGATAATTAACTATAATTAAATTACAGTTAGAAAATATAACTACATAATTAACTGTTAAATACCCTTATGAATCATATGAAAACATACATAAACTTACCAACATTCGTAGAAAGAAGTTAGGACCTAATCAGGAAATTAACATCTTATTTACTCAGTAAACATGATTATATTTTAGGAAAGGAAAACATGAAATATTTCATCAGTTTTAAAACTCAAATTATGTTAGCTTTAAGTTATTTTTTGAGTTTACTTCTTCTCGCGCTTCAGTAACAATAATTTTGATTTTTCGCTCAATAAATAAACTACCGGGAAATAGATCCGATGCCAACTGCAGTGACTAAATTTCCTTTTATGTGCTTAACAACACTCAGGAATATACATTAACTACATTCAGATTCAGTTCTATTGTAATATAAATTTCTGAGAGCTATGAATATAACAAAGCCAGGTATTTTGTTATTATTTAAAGGTTTGAATATTCAGAAAAGTATTGATATTGTCCGTACCTCATTTTTTTTACTTCCTTATACGAAGTAAAGGAAGCATTATAATCACGAAAAAATCCCGGGTATCATATTTCAACGAAAATATCCATTTTGATTGCTATCGAATGCAATTTAACAATGTTTTTGCGTGACATCTGACGTAAGGACAGAATAAAGGACTATTTTCCCCCAAACGAATTATAAAGCTGATTTAAAATGGACACAGAAGAAACCTTTTTCGTGGCGTCTGTATGTACGTGCGTATATACATGTATGTATCTCGCATAACTCAAAAACGAGTAACCTCAGAACGCTGAAATTTTGTATATAGGACTGCTATAGCTTGTAGTTGTGCACCTCTTGTTTTGGTGGCAATTGGCCGCACCAAAAGTATATAAATATATATATATATATATATATGATGTACAAGCTTTAGTCGTAGCTTAAATTATCAGACGATAAGTTTAAAAAATAGGACCATTTATTCAGGAGAAATAGCAGTTACAAAATCAGATATCCGGAGTAAATAAAAAGAATTTCTAATAACTTTTTGTATGAAGTTTATTGCATCGTGACATTTAAGAAAAAGCCCCGACATTCTTTTGCGAGTCCTTTTATAGCCTCTGGAAAGGCGGAGCTTCCAAGAAATGACGTCAGCCTCGTCAGCCAATCCAGTTCGCTTTAAATATTTCCAGAACATACTATAACTGTACGTGTAGAAAAAGGCGGGAAAAACAACTTGACTACGGGGCTGTGGATTTAATTCCACGTACTTTCAAATAAGAGAACGTCGCCATTAAAAATGAAAAGAACATACCGTTAGAATTTTAAGTGTATTCTCGACAATGGAATTTTATTATTACATATACATATATGTAAGATAAAGAATATGCGAATGAAAATTATAATTTAAAGTAACGGTAAAACATTAATTCTCCCTCTCTGTTTTAAAAATCGCAATAACTTCTCCGTATTCCGTCATTTCTAGACCATTCTATGGCCTGCGCAGCTCTGATGACATAATAATTGGGAACCAAAACTTTTCTCTTCGTATGCTTCCATCTTGGATAATTACGCACTTCAGCTTCGCTCTTTGCCCTGCTATGATATAATTTCGCTGTCTTGCTTGCTATCGCAAAAAAGAAATGTAGATGTTCTGAGATTGGGCACAACTGGAATGCCAAGCGAACTGTGGCCACAAATGTCAATTGTAAATAAAAATGGAATTAAAACTGCCTCGACTGCAAGTTCTTTAGATGATATTATCAAGTCAACATATTAGCATACGACGCAATTAGAATTCTTCCATTTCAATACGGATCTGCATTAACAGCGTCCCTTAAAATTATATTGTTCTTATTTTCCGGTTCAGATTAACTTTTGCATTCAGATTAACTAAAGAGGTTTTTATGTCTTTAGTTAATCTGAATGCAAAAGTTATAAAAGTATAAACAATTTAAAAGTTGTTTAAGTGCGGCAAAGCCTAATTTTTCTACCGCAGCAGCCATATTTTTTTACATTTGAAACTTAGCAGAATAGTGAATTAAGTCCTGTTTCTTCACATTCAGTGTCGTTTTGCCTAGTGGGACCAAAGGTAAAGATTTAGTTTTGTGCACCGAAACATCTGCCTTCCTACCTGCTGGCCGAATTGCTTGTTTTTGCATTTTAATTGTAAATTAAAAAAATTTTTTAACTCTATTTCGTGTTTTATGTTTTTCTATATCTTTCAATTTTTAATGAAGCTATTTTGAATTTTTATGTATTTTTTCCTTGTCGCGAAGTGAGAACTGAATTAATTAAAGGAGAAGTTTATCTCTAATCGAATTTGAGGAAATAAGTTTAAATGAAATGCAGAAAAAAATGCGTATAATTTAATATTCCGTACAAAGATGCCATGTGGTGTATACATCAGATTTTTACAGTAAGGATAAGAGAAATGAATTTTAAAATTAGACAAAAATTCAACATTATATTACTATCTTCTCAAAATTGCTTGTGCATTTCGAAAGGATATAATATAGTTCTTTCTCCTTCAAGGAGAAAATTACGTTGAAACACTTAGTTATTTAAAGAGCGAAATGAAGGTACACGAATCATAATAAAAGCGACAATTCTGCTATTATCTACACTAAACAAAACAAAAGATATAGAAAATTTCTTTCGAGATAGAGCTTTTAACACTTTTAGAATAAGAGATTTGGAATTATTGTGAATAGCTAATATATTTTCATGAATATGAAAAGATTAAAGGAAGCCTTAATCTGGAAAATAATTTTGGATAAGCCTTACAGTAAAAAACAGCGACTGAAGTATCAAACACGGCTTAGAGGAGAAATATGTATTATTTTCCTTCATCTACTAACCTAAGATTTGTGCTACTTAATACGATGTTTTCCAGTATCTTCTCGGCTGATGTATCACACTGACAAGGAATGCTATAAATCCCTTAAGGTTTGCATCTGCTATAGGATCTCGAAGGACGAAGTATAAATTTTTCTTGCCAGACGATTACACAACTGGCAAATTCAGCAGCTCGGGTATCCGGCCAATTTTAGAATAATTGGAAGCGTAACAACCTGCTTACGGTAGATCAAACTCACTACTCAAAAGAGCCGAATATCAACAGTTCAACCATTATTATGACTTAGAGCCAAATTTCTTTTCATGATCCATGTTTGCAGGATTCCAGGCTTTCATGAAGAAGATGATTTCTCAATTTACTTTTGATAAGTGCGCGTTTAAAAAAGATCGTTCGCATGAATTTTAGAGCCAAAGAGTTAAAGAACAGCAAATGCGAGTTTTTTTAACTAATCATATGAGCCAGGAATATTCTTTCAGGCGTTGAAAATTGCCACCTCTTCCTTCTCCAGGTCTTTCAAAACAGACAGATTTTGCTGTGAACTAAGATCACATTTACTTATCGCTTATTGTTCCGTATCAGAATTAAGGCGTTCACATTTGGAACTCCATTATTCTCTGTTTTTGAATACCAATAACTGCATTTTAAAACCGCTAGTGTCAATATCAAAGGGAGAAAAATTCAATTCTATTAAGTCAGCCCTGAGAGGTTTTTCAACAAAGGCTAACGGGGGCCCACCAGCGGCCGAGCGGTAAAGACGCTGAACACTGGTAGTTCGGTCCGAGGTTCGAATCCCGCGAACGGGCTGGCTGCATGGGCGTTTTCGTGGTTTTCCCCATGTGTAACGTGTATACGAGCCAGTTTCCCTTAGAAAATCCTCCACGAAAGGCATCCCTCCCCTTAGGCAGATAGCCCTAGTGTGCTTTGCCATAATTAAATACACCACACCACACCAACAAAGGCTAACGTGGCTACGCAATTTCCAAGTTCCTGAAACCTCCACACAAAAGCTTCCGTCATATTTAAAATTGTTGTTTGGAAATAGTAAGTGTAAATTATCGAATTATTATCTTAGCGATATTTCAGAAGGCTTGGAAAATGAATTAATGTTTCTCTTTCGAAATCTTGCGCAAAACCGGATAATTTGTTTTCGAAAGAAATTACTTCTTCATCCTTCGAAAAAATTGTGTTTCCTTTCCTCTGTAGTTTACTATTGAGATTATTTATATAAGACGTAACATGTATCAGAAAATAAAAAATTTTGAATCCATTGATTGTCCGTTATTTCAGAAGAATCAACAAAACCCTCTGTTCGCGTAGTTTCATTATGGTTTGCAATGTAATTCTAAATACAAAAACAATTTATTTCTAAATATAAAACATTTTTTAACAAATTTATTTTCAACCATTTTCAAATTCTGTTTTCGATCAAGCAGCAAAACGAACGAACGATTAAAGCTCCAAATCTATTTGACCATATCAATACAGCGTTGCCATATTAAACAATACAAATACAGCCAATTTGGTTCACCTACAAGTTGCGTTTTAAAGCTTTTATACAGAATGGGGTTAACCCTTTTCGGCACGCTACCTTAGCTACAACTGTAGATAAAGCTTTAAAAGGCTTTATCTACAGTTGTAATGACAGTCTTGATCATTCGATTGACAAACTGTCAATGAAGGTGTATTGAAAGTTTGTGAACTGTATGGACGGTTTGTCAATCAAGTCAATACAAGCAAATGCAATTATATTACAATAGTACGTTATATATTATTACTGTATTACAAGCAAATGTAACTATATAACAATACAACTGTACAACAATGCAATAAAGTAAATGCAACTGTTCAACTGTTAGTACAACTGTATTGATAATCTGTCAATCAAGTCCGTCATCAACTGTATTGACGGTCTTGATTGATAGATTGTCAGTACAGTCTACAACTGTAATGACAGTCTTGATAACATTGCAAATGTTTTCTAGAAATATCTGCGCAAAATGTGCTTCTTGATGAATGATATAATAGTAAACAAGTATTAGTGATTAGGCCAACCAGTCGCCGAGCGAACACTTATATTTCGGCTTCAGGTTCGAATCCCGCGAACTGTCTGGCTTTCATGGTTTTCTCCATACATAACGTGTATAAGAGTCAGTTAGAAAGTCCTCCACGAAGGCATTCATCGCTGAGAAAGATAGATTCGAGGCTCTAACGTAATCGCATACTTGAACTTGATTTTTCTGAATTTACTCAGCTGCTTTCTTTCTCACATCACAGAAGGGATATTTACTGCCATAGGTGTAAAGTGTCTCTGTACCATGACAAAAATTTCTACATTCTTTAATAGCAATTCTAATTCTTTAAATAATGTAATTCTAATAGTACTGTAATAATAGTAATTACAATTCTTTAAATATGTAATTCTAATTCTTTAATAATGCTTTAATTATACATTTGGTCTTATCTGCGATCTGTATTTTGCGATCGCAAAAAAGGCACTAAATTCGTTTTCTTTTGTTTCTGTTGTTCTGTGTGATATCTGACGTTTTTGTAATGAAAATAGCGATAAATGAACTTTGAGACGAATCGCGTGCAAGTCTGTTAACCATACTATGTTTTTGCAATTTATTCTAGGTAACTCGTGTTACCAGCTCAATAGTTTCAAATGCCGGACGCTGTTTGGCAAAGAGCAGGACATTTTGTTAAAAAAAATACATCACAGTTTCATTTTGAATGGACAAATTAAATATATTTTACATTTACTCAATAGGTAGTATGTATACACTTCTCTGACAATATACCTCAAAGTAACGTAGTGAAAATATGTTATGATACTAATAACTTAACTAATTACAAGTATCAAAGATTGAGACTTAACTGCTGCACTCTCAATTCAATTAATTATCTAGAAATAATGCTGAGTATTTATTTGCCGCCCTGTTTCTTTTGAAATGATATTTTTCAACAGAATTTATTCTTATCAATAGTTGATAAATTACTCACAAGACATGTACTTAAAATTGCATTGTTTGTTTATTTGTATTGCAATTTCTGGATAAAAACTTAGCGAGGTTATCTCAGTCAAACCAATGATTTAAAATTGTATTGAAATTGTAAAGTAGAATTTCTCTATCTGCTTTCTGAAAAGGTTCTTTCCTTTTGTCTATTGAGCAGGTATGGGGAAACATACATTCAGTATATGTATTGCTATCTGGAATGGCAAAGAAGATATGACATGCATTCCATGGTTCTAAAGAAAAAAGAGCATTGTTGATGCAGTGTCAAGTCTTTATTCAAAACTGAACTTCTGGCATAATTCGTAGTTTTGTAGAACTGATCAATCAGGTTTGAGTCTTTTACTTTCATACCTTTACTTTGTCAATATCGAAAACAGCTGAGAATGTCCTCAAACCTTAAGACCTTTAGGTCTTCGACTTAAAGCCCAGTGAATTCTCCCATAGGATGCATCCATTTTCAAAGTATTCTGTTCCGATTTCATAGAGATAAGATACATTTTCCATTAACATGTTTAGTCTTTCCCCAGGCTATCTTCTGAAAAGGAATTCAAAGCTTTTCTGATTTTAAAATGAATGAACTAATTCTCAAGTCTGCCCTTCAATGAAATTAGAACAGTTCTACAGTTGGATTACTTTCCTCTTCCATCAATACCAGTTTTCAATGAAAAACTATGCGTGGTGAAGGAAAGAAGCAGAATTTACTGCTTTTAAAAGTCATTGCATAGAAAACTTTTTACCGCTGAAGGCACAGATTTCCAGTCCTGAGAGTTAAGTAGGATTTCAATGCGCGGTACAATTTCAGAATTCTCTCTACTGCTGGATAAAAGTTTAGTCATATGGTTCTGGAATGATTTAAAAGCTGTTCGTAATTGATGTCTACAAATTCGTAGAAATCTTTGAGCTCTCTGTATGCACTGCATAACACATGACAAATGACACTTTCTTAACAAAAGACTCAATATCTAGAGCGAGTCTCCATGTTACAAGGAATTGTGTAAAATAAATTCTGGGCATCCAGTTCCTATGATGCTTTTATTTAATTATTTTTTGAAAGCAGAACATACACTGAAGTAATACTCTACAATAGTTAAAGGGCTTCAGTATTGTCTCCTGGATTCTTATCGAGAATCAGCGTTTTCCTCAAACCACTCTTCGACAAGCCTTTCAAACGTCGATATTCTGGCAGCGCAATTAAACTATTAGTACAGTTCTGAGGAAACAACTCGACCAAATACGCTTGATATTTTTTCTTGTCCTGCAAGCAAGTCAATATTTGCATTGGTTCCAGCTACAGCATAGTATTTAGAAAAAAATTTATGCTTTTCACAGAGAATTTGCGTTCTCAAATTAGTTAGCAGTATTTTTAAAAGTTCTGTCAGAGCAAGTGTCTAAGTAAAGAAACTTTAAATGCCATTCCTTTCATAATAAATATATTGCATTATTTGGGAACAATTTTAATGCCCCATGACTGCTAGCATCTGCTCTTAAGCCAAAATATCAAACTCTGTCATTCAAAATTTTAGAAATAACATCTAGAGTGGAAGGTGCAATTGCATTACAATAAACTCTTGCCGAACGCGGGGTGAGTTATTAACATATTGTACCGCAAAGTCGCGTTCCGCGAAGTTTACATTTACCTATGGAAAAACGGTTCAGATAGTTCAGATATAGTTCAGATTAAGAAAGTATGTATAATTTATAAAGCCAAATATTATTATAGTTAAAGGAGGAAATGAAAACAATGATACATCTAATATTTAAATAACTGGAGATTTTTGCTTGGGAAAATGCATGACGCAGCTCAGTAAGCATTTCGTGGTAGGAGTACAGATTTTTTCAATACCTCATAAAATTTCCTCTTCGTTTTTCATTTGGGTCAATCTCTATTGCAAAATCAGATAGTTTCAGTGCCTTTTTCTAATAATTCGTTTAACTTCTTGTACGTAAAAAACTCTTTGTATTCTTCACTATCGTTGCTTTCCCCGTCGGTTAAATAGGATAGGTGTAATAAGATCATCCAATTCTTTATTTGCCATTTAACGACTGTTATTCTTGATTAATTCTTTGATTTCCCCTTCATACATACATGAAAATTCTTCGCCGCCTATTGCTTTTAAAATTTTTACAATTTCTTTGGCTTCATTTTCAATCGATGGAAATGTTTAAAATTTTTGACAACTTCTGGTCAGAGCTAATGCCAACAAGCATTCATTGTTGATGAATTCATTTAACCCTATGCGAGTTATGCAGTGCCTAATGCGAGATTTATTAATATGCAGTTTCTTATGTTGAACTGTGTATCGTGCTTTATTTGCGGAGATGTAAAACATCTAAACATGTTTGAATGTTTTTATGACTCCATGATACATTGGTTGGCACATGGAAGTGATGTTCGATGGAAGAAATAAAACTTTTACATTCGGATACATTAGTTAAAGGACTTCAGTATTGTCTCCTGGATCATTATTGAGAATCAGCGCTTTTTTTTAAACCAGTCTTCGACAAGCCTTTCAAACGTCGTTCGACAAGCCCATATTGACTAAGAGTTTCAAACGTCTCCTAGCGCAACTAAACTACTAGTACATTTCTAAAAAAAAAAAAAAAAAACCTCGACCAAATAAGCTTGATTTTTTTTCTTTAAAGACATACTAAATAATTTTATGGCACTGGATACTGGAATTTCAAAGAGCTCGTAATTAGCATAGCGCATAGCATTTTAATAGTTGAAACTTGAACTATTATTTTTCATTGTGGCTTCCTTTTCTCCATTTTCCTCATCATCCTTATAATCTATATACTAACTTTTAACAAAGTACGTCAACCGGAATGGGCTCTTCAGAGGTTTGAGAAAGACCATTTTAATTACAACCACTTTCACTACTTTTATATCATAACTGCGTAAGTTGCCCCATAATGAAAAATATATGCGCCAAGTGTTTTCATGTAATCAAATTATGCTTTCAGGCGGAACGCAGTTGATCAGATGATAAAAAGCGACTACTGATCGGGAATTAAAACAGTATCAAGAAGTTGGACCATCGGTAACCTCATGTGGAACATACCAGTCATAGATTTCACATCAATAGGTAAAAGTGGTAATAGTGACGATGATGCTAATATAAAAAGTAAAAATGCTGGACGTAAGATTGTGAGTGTTCAGAATTCACCAATTGGAAAGATTTTGAAATGAGTGCAATAAAAGAGATTTGTCATGTTCATAAAATGAATTATTTTATTTACAGGAAACAAATTACGAACATATATGAATATAAAACATTATGTACAATATCGTTAATTATATACACGTGCTTAACGCATAATAATTACTCTTCTGCAGTTATTATGCATTGGTAGGAATAACAGATGAATGCATTCTATCACAGTTTAAACAATATATGCAATTTGTTGTTTTTACGGTATACAAATATGGAAACTTGTTTGAAACTTTCAGTTGCCTACAGCAGAATTTTAGGGATTAATGTATGTAGCAACTGCATATGAAAATGCCAAATTTTTCTACATGGAACTTCTCAGAGTGAATGATCGACATAAATTCACAATTTTTATGAAATATCTACAAAGCAGTGATAAGTATTGGTTGATGATGTATACGATTACGGCGCTTCCTGCGCCTTCTGTGTCGTCATTTTTTAATCGTAACTACACCATATTCATTAACAATTGATTCAGCATTTGTAGACACAGATGTTCTCGATTCCCGAGATTTCTTTCTGCTGCTCATATGACTTGAAATATCTCGAACCATTTTTTGACGACTGTAAGTTCGCTTCAGAAGAAATAAAACCTAAAAAAAAAAAAAAAAAAAAAAAAAACTGAAAACATACTTATTTGGTTATTAAAAAAATTTCTATCAAGTAATGATTTACTTTATGCAAAGACGATTCTTGCTCACGTGAACACATCGGGACGATAATGTTTAAGCCTAGTTAAAGAAATGCAGTAATTATTCGAATTTTGTTAGGCTAAATGTTTCTTGAATGGCATAGGCATTGTAGGCGCATGCATGGTTACAATTTTTGAAATAGTTTAAATTAGATATGTTTTAAGACTGTATAAAACAATGTGCTTTTAGGGCATGAAACGTGAAAATTCAACTACGTCTTCTCTGGAATTCAAACCTAGATCTTCCAATGCTATCCGGTTGCTCTCTTTACTTACAGCGCAAGAGCAAGCACGAAGAAATGCAATAATTCTTCATATCTGCCCCAGTTAAAGGAAGACTTAAGAGAAGCATGAGATGACGAATATCAATATGACAAATAATTGTCGGCTATATTTTTGCTGACGATAATATATAGGCCATTAAATCTTTGGGAGAATGAAACGCGAAACTTAACTTTGCACTGGTTAGAATTCGAACTACGGATCCAGTGTTAGCTGGTTGTGCTATCACTTTCATTATGAAAGCACGCATGGGAAAATACGACAATTATTTATAAGATTACTGCAATTTTGCTAACGTGACATTTAGGATAAAAATGGCGAAGTTTTAAATTTTTATAGGGTCCATCTGAAGAGAAAATCCTATTTCATAAATTGTTCCTTCTGGAGAAGGTAATGATAGGATGGATTAACTTACATGCTATGAGAAATAAACCCTCTTTCAAAAAAATTGTTTCAATAAGCAATTTTTACCAGATAAAATATTGTTTCAATAAGCAATTTTTACCAGATAAAAAAGATAGCTAGAATACTGAATTTCTTTCTGTATAAAATTTCTGATCGTAGAATTTCTACGAACGGTAATTTGAAACTTATGCGTTTATACGAAAGTTTTTTTTTATCATTAAAATATCTTTTATTTCTTATTCTAAAAACTAATATGTGTAGCTTTCTCGTTTAGGTCAACTACGCTTGAATAAACGCTTAAAAATATTTTTTAATGACTATGGATATACAATTAATCTTTGTTTTGTCTTTCTGAAAGACATAAATTTTTTCTGCGTTAAACATTCCGATTACTTGAGAGTCTTTCTGATCCAACAAGCATTTAAATAAAAGATCGACTGGACGAAATATAGTGCAGTCCCGCAAATCGCCTTCCGATTACTGGACATTGCGCATAACTAGACGATCACTTTTTTAATCACTATGATTTGTGCTAATCAAGCAGAATATTATCTTTGAAATAATTCAGTTATTTTTTAATAGCCATACTGTCTAATTTCTAACATTGCCTGTACGGTGCAAGAAGTAATAAGTACATGTGAATTACTGCATTGCTACAATTGCAGTATATATTTATGGATATGAACGTTCGGATGCTTCTTTGTTCTATTCAAAGATTTATTATGGTATTTTAATTTTGAAATTCTGAAAACATAAATAACATAAATAAACACAAATTTTTCTTTTATGACACTATTTATTAGAAGCCGTATGACGAATTAGGAGATATGTTTTGTATTTTACGTCAAAATTCCAATTTATCGAATTTCTCTTCTCAATTACCAAGTGGCTGAAGAAAGTTAGGTAGCCACTATCGATTGCACTCACATTCCTTTCTGTTGCTAGCTATTAGAGAGCTTGCTTGAAAGCTTTTGTGGCACTCGATTATAAGCTTAACTTTAATTTCATTCTGGATACAGTATCTCAGTTTATATCCGGGCTTACAAGCGTTGTGTTGCCTGTGCAAGTGACAATGTCGAATAAGACGGGGGGGGAATTAACATAATAATAGAAATGAAATTGGATGACTTGAGAGGCTGAGAAAAAGGAAATATTAATAAAATTGCCATGGATTTAAATGTTTTTTGAAATATTATAGTTGCGAATGATCAATCCTTTCTACTGTAAAAGTCGACATTTTCAGTAATTCGTCACCCTCTCAATCCACATTAAGTCAAGTAAATGGGGCTGTACGCACATCTTAACCATTTTTACGCATTTAATTTTCTCTTTAAGATTTATCCTACGTATATGACTTGTCTAGTAAACTATTGTTCATTAACCGTAATTGATTATACCATGGAATAAAATCAATTGCAGACTTAAATATTCCTTGAATGGTGGGTCGTAATTCCATTTACAAAATATGTATCTTTCAATGGGCTTAATATAATTAAAATATCAATCAGTAAAACCATTTTAATCAGAAAATAAAAAACTCAATCTTCATGCGATCAAAGTTATCTAAGATATAATTAATTAAATAGTCTGAGATCCGTATAAAATAGTATCATGCTGACAAAATCATATGATTTTGGGAACTTTTTTAGGGTCAATTTGTATATACAACAGCAAATTCATTTCCAAAAGATCATTAGTAGTATTAGGAAAGACTTTCAGATTTATTAAAAGGGCAAAATTTCGATTAAAGGAAAAATTATTAATAGCTCTCCTTACAGTGCCCCCATAAAAATCGAAACATAGTTTTACCAAAAGAATCGATTATCTAAATTTATTGAAATTTGAAACACTACTTTATTTGATTCAGTTCTTAACATGTAAATATTTATTCCTTTGTAACATTTATCCTAAGTTTTTAACAGTTATCTTTAGTTAAAGATACTTTCCTATCCCTCCTAATTTCAGCTTACAATTTCCCACCAGAACGTGGTTTTAGAATCGCGGTTAAGTCAAAGTTCCACTGACTTCGTTAGAGAACCTGAATTTCTGACTAGCGCGCGTTCGCCTTTTTGCTAAGTCAATATAAGCTATTACTACTCTCAGCCGTATTTCAGGTCCTTGGTAGCTTCGCCAGGCTAGTTGATATTTAGGGTCCAACTACTTAGAATTTTTGATAGCTTCGGCTATATCTTTCAGTTAAGCATTCGTTAAGTTTGATTTCTTAGTACTCTTGAGTTTAAGCCCAAGTGGAGGTTTTCTGTATGCTCTGAGAAAGGAGCCAACTTTTAAATTCTATTATTTTGAGAAATAAAGGGTAATCAACCCTTCTTGAGTTCACATCTCTGTTCCTGAACTAAAGAGATTATTCGCTTACCACACGAAGGTTGGAACCCCATGCTTTTATAATCATTTATTCAAGAAATACATTCAAACTTTTGTTAAAAGACATTTTACTTTGAGCACATATTCTTTATTAACATACATTTCCTAAATCCTCGGATTCTCGAAGGAGACTAGTGTATTCCATTTTAGCAAACATTTATTGATAACAAACAAAACCTCCTGACCCGACAAAGTCTAGTGACAGATGTTTTCGCTGTATTTAGTGAGCAATGAAATATCCTGACTGTGTGCGCACTTATATATTAACTATAACATTACATAACGGTATGAAAGTCATTTATTATGTGAATCAAATAATAAATCCACCCTTATACTTGAAATTTAAAAAAAAAATATATATATATACTGTTACTTACTTCATTGTTGAAATAACAGAATATGAGTGATACAATTCCACCCTAAAAAGAAAAGCATTTTATTAATATTTCTTCAAACATGAATAATGAGTATTTAAACTGCATCTTTATTAGGAACCGTAAGTGCTTAGTCACCCTCTCATTATCATAGTCATGATTTCGCTTGTTTCCTTCATGCAAAAGCCTTTTCTGAATTAAAAAATATTGATATTTAAGGAAGTCAGAAGAAGTAAAATTCTGTGACCAATGTGCCAAAGCTTTGTTACTTTCGGTCTTCCTTGGCAGAAGAATGCGTTATAATGAATTTAAACTTAATATTTTAGGTACAGGAAACAGACAAATCTGAGGCACGTGTTCTTAAGAACAAAGCCTGTAACTAGATTTTTATTTAATAAAATTGAACAGATATTACTAAGAATTGAACCATAATACTTAGTATCACATTTTCAAAATAATAAAAAAGTCTGAAAGGTTTTAGATTTTATTTTTTTAATTACATAAGCATACGTTTATGCTGCTTTATTTCGAATTTCCTTTATTTGTGTTATTTATTATTGCCTAGAATGGTAAATATTTAGGTTCTTTTTATTCTGCAAGAAGGCATTCATTTGTTTTTCTACACAGTTATTAATAACAACATAACTTTATTGCTTTGAATCTTAAATTCTGAAGTAAGTTAAAGTAGTTTTTCAACTATTCCTTTAATAAATTAATTAGCAGATTATTCATTCCTGCAAGGCACTCCAGAATCTTCTGCTGAAGAAGGGCTGTTTTCTTGAGGGGCTTTTTAAATAATGCTAGCTCATTCAATTTTTAAAGATATGTAAATCTTATATAAGTAGTCTATTAGCCCTAGGCAACAAACCGAGAACAAACTATCATATTCGTTCGGCCACTGGAGAGCGTATATGTCATCAACAATGGTAGCTCTTAAAATTTAAACTGAAGAGTCTTCAATATTCAATTGAAAACAATTAAAATATGTAATAGTAATAGCTTTAGAGAAGGGAAAAAATCCTATTTATACATTGTGGTCTGTGTGGTTGAAATGAAAACACAAACTGATATTTTGGAAATGAGACTGCGTAATTAAAAAAATACTGTGAAGATTGCGTAACATTTTTTAAACTTCCTTCTGTACCTCAGATACTATAAGTATTTGCACATTTATAATACAGTTCGATGTCTTGCAGTCTGAATGTTACGTGGTGCTACTGAATATATAACTTATTATGGCGTGAACAGTATTTAACACCACTTAACTACCAAAGGCTTCCTATGTTTAGCAAATACCTTGATATGTTATCCAGAAAATTAAAATCATTTATCCCTAACCTATTTATCTCCGACACTGTTAAATTTTTGTCTCATTCTGAGAATCCTTCGAAGGTGAAGTATTAGATATAACGTCTTTTTTGAGGTTAAAATTGCGAAACATTTGCCTACACTTCTAATATGAATTTGGGAAAGAAATCGACATACTTAATGAAAATTATAAATATCACAAGATAAATAATATTTTAAAATATGATCAACAGACCTATTTACAACAAGTGACGGGTTTTCTTTTCATAAAATTAAGAATAGAACTAAGAAATTAGTTTCCTTAAAATTTTAACAATTTGCAAAAACAGAATAGTGTAGTTATAATTTTTTTTTTATCTTCAAACATAAAAATATATCTTACTTGCAATCCATCCATGGAATACGTTGCAATATTATAAATTTGCAGAATGTAACAGTCTCCCTTTGTGGGATGGTAACTGATAAGCAGGAAATGTAATCCAAATAATGGAATAAGAACCATAGTTGCACGAACTGCTCGCCTAAAGAAAACAAATTACGTCAGTTTATAAATTCGAGCTATTTTAAATACATTATATTTGTATGAAGTTCTTTTCACTTCAAGAAATTTGTTTCTAATTCATTTTAAGAGGAGAACATTGGGACTACTGCTTTTTAATGCACTATATACTAATATTTATTTTGAAATTAAATAAATACGTACTGCTTTGGATATAAACAGTTTAATAAAATTCTGAAACCAGCAAAACTCCAGATATCCGGGAGCACCATTATGGGGATGATTCGTACTTATTTTCGGATGTTGTAAAATTAAGTTTATTGCTATTTTATTTAAAGTTTTTCATTTATAATATCTGACAGCTAAGTTTAAAAACAATAATGGTAATTTTATTGCTTTAATTCAATTGAATTAATGTGTAAATTAACTTTTAATTAAACAGAAAAAAAATTAAGTATTTTATGCAATAAAAATAATATTTCAATCTTACTCGTGGGGGCATAGCTCAGTGGTAAAGCATTCGACTGCAAATCGAGATGTCCCCGGTTCAAACCCGGGTGCCCCCTTCATATACTTTAATATTTTGAAGTAATACGTAATTTTAGGATTTATGTATATGTAATTTTATGCAATAAAATGATATTTTAACCTTATTTTGAATTGATTTTTTTCAACTGAATAATTTACTTCTTTCATTTTAATTCGATAATAAAAAATGTATTTAATTTTAGGTTCAGTAAATAAAAGTTCCCCGAAAGAGACCGTTAGTGTTATTAAACAATTAAAAATTATTTTATTGTTTGCAACAAAATTTATTTTTAGCAAAAATTAATATATCAGCTTTTTTATCTGTAAAATGTTTATTGAAATAAAATACGATAAACGTAAAAGTAAAAAGTAAAATTTCTTTACTTACATTTCAGTAAGTACATATTCGGAAATATATAGCCCACGTACTCGGAATTTACATTTATGTACCACGTACTCGAATTTTCAGGTATTTTGTTTCGGAAGTTTTGTAGTTCCAGTTAATCCGAATATTGGAGTTTATTAAGGGGACTTTTTTCAAATTTATCTAAACTTTAATGAAGTAAAAGCTATTTGCTAAGTGAAAATCATTTTAAAATAAGCATATTATTCTTAATCATTTTAATATGTGAAAGAGTATGGTACTTTCTTTCACAAGAGAACTATAATTCAGGACTATATGATAATTAATAAGACACTATGTTAATCATTTTAATCATTCAGGACAATATGTTAATCATTTTAATATGCGAAAGAATATGGTACTTTCTTCCACAAGACAACTATAAATCAGGACAATATGATAATTAATAAGAAACGGCTTCTTTATCTTAATTAGTTCTTAATTAAATTATAAAGAGATAATTTTGTATAAATATATGAATTATGCTTTTATTAAATAATTTTATCGTTTTCTTGATTTTTAATGTAAAGCGTTTTATTTTAAATTTAATTTAATGTTATTTATTCTTGTGCAAATATCCCTTTAGTTCTAATATATTTTCATAAGTATAGTGGAGTTCATAGTTAAACTATCAAAACTCTCATAGAGTTAAAATTTTGGAAATATTCCTCATGTATGTGTATCCTGCAGAGTAATTCATATTTATCATTAAAATATATTTATGCGATTTTTATTCATGTGCCTATTTTCATAACTATCCGGCAATCAGAAATTCAAACGATTTTGCACATTATGTAAAAGATATCAGCAACAGCTGCAATATTTTCTTAAAACTACACTTATAACCATAATTATGAAGAGAACGACTGCGAAAATTTTAAAGCAACAATTTTATTTAAAGGCTTGGAAACTATTCAGTGTTAACAATACAATATTGGTTACCTGAATTGCGTTGGTTCGTCAATATTCGTCGATCTCAACTTTGTGATTACAACTTGAATAATATGTGCAAGAAAACAGAAATTAGCCTAGAAAAAACATACTAATTTTATAATTTTCACAGATAAAAGAAAAGTGGTTTAAAAGAATTTGACTTAAATACCAGAACTATTTCATTACTTTAGTAAAATCGGCATATTTTATGAAATCGATCCAGATAATTCGAATATCAGTTTATTGAAAAGTATTCCTTAATATCATTTGGTCGCATTAATTTTGTTTCGACTTTCTGATTAAGTTAAAATTATTGATTTTGTAAAAACTCTTACAACAGGTTCTTAATCAATAGAAATTAAAGTCCGACGAAGAAACATAAGAAATAGCTTTCGGTTCCATCTACAGAATAATGATAAATGCTTAATTTGTGATAAGTTTGGGGACGCCAGGCACTTCGTCGATGTATGTACGCTTACCCGGAGTTCAAGAGAGACATATAGAAAGAATTTTAAGGAATATTTTAAAAGGAACTATTCAAATTTGAAAGATTTTGCAGAGACAATAATGAAGATTATAAATACGAACAAAGAGAGAGTTGGAATACGGCACTGAGACTCAGATTTTGGACTTTCCATGTTCCCCCCCCCCCCCCTTATATATATATATATATATATATATATATATTTTTTCTGGCCAGTCCAATTTTTTTATCATACGGACGGCTTGTGCCGGCTAGGAGGATCGGGACTGTGCCTTTATAATAGTAATAATAATAATAAGAAAAAGTTTAGCATCAGCCTCTATTAAAAAAATTTGGATCGAATAAAAAATATGTAAATACGCCAAGATTTGTTTCCATTTAAAGATTTCTTTATTAATTTCTGAAGTTTGATTTTGCTGTTAAATTAGGTGATCTCCAAATATCTCAAATATTCGAATGCGTGTATGATAATTTTAAGAAAGAAACTATTTAAATTATGGCTCAATATACAGCTGGTGTAGGTATACAAAGGTACCTTACAGGCATAGTAGACTTTGCACAGCTAATGTAACACGAGAAAAGTATCCTTTTACCCACCAGTACGTATCTACGATGGATAAAATATTATATTAAAATTAAATATCTTAAAATATTCAGAAAAATATTAGATTAGATATTGTTGAATAAATCAGCAAACATTAAAATTCTTCTCTTAAAAATACTTTTTAAAACTGAACATAAATAACTCATAGCTTAATAAACACAATTTATGCGGTCTCCTCTATGAGTAACGAACATTAAAAGTATACATTACAAAGTACATTAAAAGTAAATTATTATATTCAAACGGGAAAAGAATTATCTAAAACTATAGAACACTTAGATAAGAATGTAACATCCCTCGCCCGCAGAGAAAGAGATTTCCCTTTCTGGGGAATCTGGGATAAAATGCTATCAACTAGGGAAGGATATATCATCTCTTCAAACGATTCAGAAATTGAAAGGAAATTATGCACTGCTTTCAGTGCTTTATTCATACTGCCTATTACGATAGTAAAAGTTCAAGACTGTTAGACAATTTTTAATGTCAGATAACTCTGCGAGCGAACCATATGTCATTTTAACATACTTCTTAATGGTGTCCTAAGCAATGTAACAAATCCACACGATGATTTCTATGGCTGCCTGAAGGTATATCGTAACTTTGGTGATCAGGTAGTAGTGGTGGCACATAGCATGTATGATGCATCCAGAAAGAAGAAGGTTATAATGCTAGGTGGTCTTAGAGAATGTATATGAAAATTCAAACCACTGGAAATAGCAAAATCACTTAACATAATAGAAGTTTTGAAAAATATGTAAAGGACTTTCGATAGAAATATGGATAGAATGTTGTGTAGCCATATGTACTATCCTTACGCCAAGATCAGCTATAATTATTGTAAGTAATGAAATAATCAACAATTACTACCAGTTACGACAGAAAGTGCGCATGCGACCGTCTGAATATTTGTTATGCGATATGTGGTTCACATGCACACAATATTAAAATTTGTATGATGTGAGCACAATTTGTTATTTTGTTTGTTTAACAGTTTCTCTGCTCTGGGCAGTTTTTGTATAAAATGGGCAAAGTGGTTTCATGCTTCCTGAGTTACCCTTTTGAAGCATGGTAAGCAACATACATATGTAAAAAAAGGGGGAGGGGGTTCCTGAAAAAATGCCTTAAATTTTTTAAACGAAAACATCATCATAATTATAAGTGTAAAATACACTAGTATAGTAAGTAATAGTAAGTGAAACAAAGGCTCATTCGGTTTATTTTTATACTTTTTTAAACAAAAACGACTGTTTAAGAACCTTGTAGGAAACATATTTTATGTAAATTAATTATAAGCACAATGTAATAGAAATGATTATTCAAACTTTTAAGAAAACTAGTTTAGTACCGAATACAGTTATTTCAAAGAACTTGGAAGGGTAGTTCTTTATTAACACTGCTATTTATTGTTTCTGATATGGAAAACATTTAACTGCAATAGAGGTTTGTTTTACAAAAAGTAAGCATTGAAAATCACAGATTGTAGGATTTAAAATCTACCAAGGTAAAATTATTTCATTTTATTCACAAAAATGGAAAAAAAATTACAAATTATTAACATTAAGTATTACCAGTAACGCCACAAGCATCGGAGCCAGCAACACCCATTCATATTTTTCTGCTGGTACTATCCAACACCTAGAATAAAATTTTAGTTGGTAAATTTAATTTTAGCTTTTATTTAGCTATATAACATGCACTTATGTACATACGTAAAAATAAATACGTTAAGTATTTTAAAAATTTAATTTAGTGATTCTGTCTCACTTAGAGCAAAAGGATGAAAACAATCAAACTGTGCAGATGTACCACAAAAAGCACGCTACAACATAGCAAAAATTAAAAGGGAATATGTAAATAATTAGAAAGCAGAGAAAACATATATACTGATATACTAATTGAAGACCTAGACAAAAATGTATTCAGTGAGCAAAAGAGTTATTATACAGTCAAAAGTCGTTAATCCGGACTCGTCGGGACTTCGGCGATTCCGGATTATCGATTTTTTCGGATTATAGATCATCAGTTTAAATCTCGTAAGATGGCATGCAGAAATTCTAAAATTAAAAATATGAAACCGTAATTTATGAAATAAAGAACAATTATGATCTAAAGGGTATCAAAATTTACAAAAAAAAAGCTTAATATTTATTTGTTTACTTTATTAAACATTTCTTTCAATGTAAGTTGTTTAAGTTGCTTTTTTATGTGATAATACTTTCTCTTTAATTCTATATAAACAGACATAATTTCTTTTTCAGTTACGAAGTTCCGCTGTTCAAATCCCGTAATTGCTGTGCCGAGAATACCGAGTAACTTGTCAATCGAAATTTTTTCGTTTTCACTAACCTCTCTGTCACCTTCTTCATGTCTTTATCCATTTTTTTGCAGCAATTACACTTTTTGTTTGATGGACATCGAAACATACTTTCGTTGTAGATCGTTTGGGAGCTCCAGCATCGAAAATTCTATTTGATATAATCGAAAGTTCAAGTTTACTTTTATAGTATTGCTCTTACAGTCTGCAAAAAATAATAAGCCGGATCCAGTTCGAAAATTAAGGAACAACACAATCATCAACATTAACTGAATTAGATAATTTTAGCTTATTCCGTCCGTTATACATAAAACGCGCACGCATATGCGCAGACGTAAAAGGTCTTATGCGCACGCGTAAACGCCTATGCGCATGTGTCAACGCGGCGCATGCGCAGAAAGTTTTTAGCTTTGAGGTCCGGATTATAGATCATTCCGGATTATGGGTGTCCGAATTAACGACTTTTGACTGTATATACAAAGCGGGGAAACCGCTAAGTGTTGGGGGTGGAAGAAAAATGGAACTGTACATTTTTCGTTTTCAGAAGCGTCAACTTAATTCAGTTTCTTTTGCTATACTTTTGAGTTTTTATTACACGGCATGCTTTATAAAAATAATTATTAAATAATTAATTTTAATAAAGGCAAATATTTAATTATGGTAAGCAAAAAGATATCCCGACATAACACTAACAAACTGAATAAGGAAGAGATGTTTTCATGGAGGACGATTTAACCCCTATTTTTGCAGCAGCGGTGAAATCGACAGATTGTAAAATTTACGTCTTTGTCCCCTTCAAAAGAGTTTAGCTTTGAAAGTGAAACTACAAAAATTTTCCTAAATCTAACCAATATGCAAGGCATAAGACTACAAGAAACCTAATTTTAGATTCAGATTTACAGATATCCGTACTTGGAACAGCGGTCAATTTCACTACTATCAATTTACTGCTGCGAACTTTATTAAACTGCTTTGGTACTTCTTCCACTTAATTATGAAAGAAGAAAACATATACAGATATAAACAAAACATCCTTCCATAAACATCACACTTATCAGAAGATGACATACTATATCAGAAAACAAACACATTATTTTGTAAATGATGCACCATTGTGAGAGATACGTATCTTTCTAGAGAGTTAGAGAAGATATATACTGACAAAACGTTATCTTATTATGCTTCCAATTGAAATGTATCTTATAAATGGTAATGTGAAATGTGTTCATTTTCGTAATTTGGGAAGATGAGCTTCATCTAAGGATGAAACACTTACGGAGATATGAATTTATAAATCATTTTCTAAATACAGGAAAAAGCAAACAATGACAAATCTCATTGACGATGACAATATCTTTACTTCTTAACAACTGTAGAAGATTTTAAAAATCTAAGGGAAGAAACGTAATTCAAACAATAAGTTGTACCAAATGAGGAATACTGTCTCCATCGGAATACTCTGAATACATATCGTTTATACCCTAAGTTTTAAGAAATGACATAACATTGATCTGTTTCAAGGAATATTAAACACAAAAATTGCTGATTTTGATCAACTTAAATGAACACATGAAAAGCGTTCTAGAAACAATAACAAAAATTGTAAAATGTTTCTAGAAAAATTATTATCAAGGCTTGGTAAGTAGTTCACAATAATGTTACTCTAGCTGTAATAAATGGAAAACTGTTTGTAAGGAACTTAATTCGATGTAGAACTAACTACCATTATAGAAGTTATTAAAAAGAGACATATAGAAAGACATATCTGTTTAAGGGTGTTAGGAAACTAGACGTTTTCTATCCTGAAACATACATTTATGAAACAAAAATGTGGGTAGGAAACAAAACGTAAAGAGAGAGTTGAAAACGTGTATAATGCCATGTGTAGAAAATGCACTAGATCTGTCTGATGCATATGTAGAAATACACGGCCCCTCTGTTAGATATTGTAATGACGTAGAATAGAAAATAACTGGCACATTTTGCATCTAAAATTAATTAATTCCATAATTACTGACTCTAATTATTTACTGACTCTAATTTTGAAATCTTTAAGATGGATCCCTAATCTTTAAGATTAATTCTCTTAAATAAAAAAAGTACATATTTGTTTTAACTTTTTTACATCATTGTACGAAGTAAAGGAAGTATTGTAATCGCGAAAAATTTCGGGTATCATATTTCAACGAAAATAATTGATAGCTATCGAATCCATTTGAACGATGTTTTTGCGTGACATCTGTACAAATTTTGTACATGAGACTGCTATGGCATGTAGCTGCGCACTTCCATTTTTGGTTTCAATCGGCAGCACCAGAAATATATATATATATACAGGGTATTTAAACAATTCGGTTACAAACTTTCAGGAGCGAACAGTGAGCTAAGTGGTTTGTTCTTATAAGTTGGTAAATTGTCGATTTTTTGCTTCAAAAGTGACTGATTTATATTCTTCTAATGTCCAGACTAAAGGTTCTATGCCTTTAGTAAATCTGCATGCAATAATTGTAGAATTATCAAAAATGTAAAAGTTATTTAAGTGCTGCTAAGCCTGCCGAAGCTGCCATATGTTTACATTTGAAACTCTTAGCAGAATAGTAAATTAAGTCAGTTTCTGCACCAACTTCGACTTCTGCCGAATGGAACCAAAAGTAAACTTCCAGTTTTGTGCACCGAAAAATCTGTCTTCTTACACGCTGGACAAATTGCTTGTTCATGTGTAGAAACTTCCTTAAAACACATACAAATTTCTTTTCGTCAGCATGAAAAACTGTATACCACAAAATAATGCAAAATTTTTAATCTTTAGAAATAAAACGTAGATTTTGATAAAAAGACATATCTTAAAAAAAGTAATTTGTTTTCTCCGCTTTTCTTAAAAAGGTGAATAAAAACTCCCCATTAAGAAAAAGGCAATGATTGTAATAATTTAAGTAAACGATGCGAGAATTAAAGTAAAATATGTAACTTAAAACATCGTATCTTCACTTAAATTATGGCGTTTTGTTTGAAGTTTCGAAGCTTTACGCGATTTTGCTTGGTCTTGTGTGCTTGGTTGTGATATTTCCGTTAGTAAAAGATTAAAGTTCTTATTTGTCTTTGGAAGAGAGGTCTTAGTTATTAGTTAATCCTTATCAGCTTTAAGAAATTATGATGTTACTGTACTAGGTGATATGTTATGCAAATAATCTATCTAAGCAAGCCGCTGCGATGCATATACAAATGCATTTACGCAATTTTTGTAAAAAAACTCACATTAAAAATATTAAAGAATTTTGTAAATTACAGAATTGCAAAGAGTATTAGCCATGAAGAACTAACTACTTACGATTCATCGGCTTTAGTTTGTCTAGTTACTGCCCATATTAACACTGGAACTACAGGTACACCTAGAATAAACAAAAACAATAAGTAAACAATAAAATTTTATAATATAGTAAAATAGAAGCAACTTTTTTACCCTGTTGAGAAATAGAATTCACGTTACTGAATACCTGTGTTACACAGAAGTAAATCAAACCCTCTGGGAATTTACTTATAGAAAACTGTACACCTTGCATGATATTATTCATTTTATCTCAATTGATATAAACTCTTTTGCATTAATGCACATGTCCCGATGGAAATTTAATGCACAGAAGCAACCGTGGAAGTTATTTTCCTCATTTCTTTCAGTACATCCTACATTATCTTCTTCCTCTCATCTACCTATTCCCCTTGAGAACCAATTTTATTTTGGGGAACAAAAGATCACAGGGTCTGGGAGGGACTATCTAGGAGATGAGAAATGACAGTAGTAGTCATACAAGTTCTTGGTGAGTTTGGTATCGTCAGGCTATCCCTGTTTTATATCAGTTCATAACCGCACAGACATGTTTCATCTCTAATAATTATTTGAGAAATGACATATGAGTCGTTTTAACGTCGTTGTTTAAGCTCCGTGCTCGCTAGAGCTCGATGCTTACTCGATGCTCAATGAGCAAACGACAAAAAACAAAATTTCATTTAAATGCTTTGTTTCTTCAAATCAGGCGTAATACTGATTAAAAAATGTCTTGAACACAACTTCACAGGAACGTACAATGTAAAAGAACACATTTTCCATGGCAAACCAATAGCTAGTGAAATAATTTGTTGATACTAGGAGGAGATATCTAGTAGCGTACCATTTCCGTTGAAGCGAGGCAATATTTTTCTTGAAAATTTTGGCTCGTATTTCACACAGTAACATCATTGAACTTCCTGAAATGTTATCTAATTTCAGTTTGTGAGATTTGCATTCAGAATCAAACCTCATTTTAAGCATCACACATGAAAAATATATTTAAATAATACATCAAAACATCATAATTTTGTAAAAATGCCATACGGTTTTGGCATAAAAGATCTGAAACTTTGAAAAATGAATGCGAAAAAAAAATTAATCTGACAAGCCACGTTCATTAAATTTACCTGTTTCTTTTCTAATTAAGAGGGAGCCTTAGTAAGGAATATGACCTCCCCTAACTGCAATGTTTCCTTTGCACCGTCTGTCGATACTCAACCCCTGTTGTTTTAACAGTTCTGATTCTTCAAGGAGCACCTGTTTCATATTCTCTCTGGTATTTTTTGAAGGGTAAAATCGTGCCGTCAGGCGTCTTTATAAAATATCACTTTCATGTGCAACGGGATTTAAATGAGGGGAACAAGCTGGTCAGTCTATTCTGTGAATATATTCACTTTCCAGGAGCTCCTCAAAAACATGAGTTCTTCATGGCCGTTCATTGTTAGCCATAAAAACAAAATAGGGAGCAATGGCACACCGAAAAAGATGTAAGTGGGGAAGGATAACTTCATCTCAATAACGGTCGCCGGTAAGGAACAGCTATCGAAAATGTGGAACTCTGTTCGTCCTTCGACGTAATGCTTCTCCATACAAGCACGCCAGGACTAGCCCAATGGCCTCTTTCCCTGATGTTAGTTGGATGAGTGCGTGTGTTTAAATCTTTCCGAGTCGAAAGGTGCCAATAATCGTTTGCCAGACTGAAACGGTTCGCATTGATAAAGAGGACATGAATCAATTCATGAGGTATCTAGTCTTTGTGTTCTCTATACCACAGCAAATGGTGCCGGTGATGGGCTGATGTCAAGGTATGCAGCGTTCAGGATAGCAGGCGAATAGGCCATCTTTATGAAGTCATCTGGCCACAGAAAACAGAGGCACCTGCCGTCCAGATGCTATGCGCAACTGTTGAACAATGTTTCCCGCTGTCCAATTTCGATCTCTTTTCATCTGCAGTGCGATATATCGATCATCAGTCACAATTGGTTTCCTTTGTCGACTACCATTAATCTGTCTTAAGCCACCTCACCATTAATCTTTCAAACCATTTCTCACCATTATTCTTTCAAACGACAGGTTGATTAATGCTCGACCACCATTAATCAACCTGTCGTTTGGAAGTCTTTCCAAGCCCATGAAACAACACTTTTAGGAATTCCAAATTCTTGGGCGACAGACATCAAACTACGCCCCTCCTCTAGCTTTTCAATCATTCTATCACACGTAAAGCTGTCCTGGTGTTTTCTTGTAACCATACTGCACGTGCAGTGCCACCCTCACTTGCAGAAGAATGCCTGGGAACGCGCCTTGCTATCTCCTTCTTAAGTTGCCTTGCATTTGTACGCGCTGACTCCTAGTGTTTTACGTCCCCTGGCGTATCCTCTGTCGTCATGGAACTGATATTTACATATGCTTCATATTTCCACTGAGTTGGCTTTTCACCATGGTGATCGTGAAAAGCCCTCCTCAACGATTTCACTCTTGTATGTTGAAAACTGAATTTGTTGTTTAAGTTTTGCGCAGTAATATATAATACAACTGAATTAGCTGACCAGTTAGAAAATTTTTCATCAGACTCTTCCGAGGCAGGATATAAATAACTTAATTTTCACCATGTAGCACTGAAGTAGCTACAGGGATAGATTTATCATTTGATTGACCTAAAAATATAAAGCATTTTTTATTTTGTTAATATTTTAACTATTTCTATATTTCCTCAAGAAATGCATGCATGCAAAGTTTGTGGACTGTAATTTAATTATTTATGGGCGCACTGTTTTTCTCAGTCAATTATATTAAACAATAATATAAACTGAAAATTAACTTTTACAAAAAAATTCCAAGTGGTGCATAAATAGTTAATAAGGAATAAAATGTTAATAGAAATTTCAAACCATACCCCATCCAATGATATAAAAGACATGATAACTCTTTTGTTCCGCAAATGCTGCAGCGATGAGCTTGTGCAAATAATAGCCTTCACAAAACATCCACGCGTAAGTTGACAATCTCAAGTACTTGGTGATCGTGTAAAAGATTTTGCATCCAGCCTATAGTTAATAAAGAAAATGTTTAATTAACAAACAGTTTAACAGAAGGGAAATAATATTCAGTTGTTGGTGTTTCAACATATTGGCTAAGTGGAGTTGCATAGTTCTTAGATATACTGTTAATATGAGACAGTTTCGCAAAAGAAATAGACATTACTCCTAAAGCAGATAGTTCTCTAATTTTCATTATAACTATTGCTATATCTGCTTAGTAAAACATATAGAAGTGATTAGATGAACACAAGAAAACATAAATTTTAATGAAATGACTCTCTTATAAAGATTATATAGTTTTTCTGCATAATTTCTGAATCATAAAATTTTGCCATGATGTAACTTTATCATGCAGGCTAATGGTGCTTTTTGATCCACTATACTATAAGGCGTTATCAAAGTAAGAATGGATCGAAACATAACACTTAAACTAACTTTTAATTTGTTTAGTGCAAAAAGTATGTTAATTTCTTCTTTAAAAGTTTCATTTTGCCATAAAATGCTAGATATCGTTTATTTTCCTAGTCGGCTCCTTTTGAAAGTGACTATCATTTTTGGAGAGTATAAATAAACATGATTATGGAATGGTGGATAGTAGACCTAGGGTATTTCATTGTAGTTTAAAGGAATTTCAAGCAATAAGTTTAATTTTCTTACAATTAGAACACCATTAAGATAAAAAACGCTTGTGCAATTAACATCTGAGAATCAACAATGTTTCGTTGAAGCCAGAATATACTTAAGTTTTTACAAGGAGGGTTTTAAAAGTAGGGCAAGCAATGCATTTTGTTCTTCAAACATTACGCTGTGTAAATATTGCAATTAAATATTTATTCACGTGTTTCTCCGTACTACATGTAGATAGATGGCAGCAGAGCAAAACCTATGACTGCAAAAAGAAATATATATTTGTGAAGCAATTAGTTAATTGATAAAAGTCATTAGTAATAATAACGTAAATTATTCCAAAAAAATTAAGTATGAAGACTTCGCACTCGGACTTTATGCTACTTAGTTCTTATATGGATCACTCACGAGGTGCATAATTTTTCGTACATATTTTTATATATATTCAGCTTATTTACTCCAGTTTATCAGCATCTTTAATCTTGGAATTATTCTCTGCATCTCAATTTGTGCCCTTGTTCATTTTTACTCATGTTTGTGCCCCCTCATTTTATTACGAGTTTGACTATCCAGGCAAGGACCTCAATATCTCTTTTGCGTCTCTCCATTGGAACATATCACTGAGTTTGTGTACGTAAGATTTCTCATTTCTTAAGTTACTTGAAGGTGCTAACAGCTGCGCCAAAATTTTAATGCTCAAGCTAGAATAATTTCAGCATTTGAGTATTAATCTGAATGCAGGAAAAGTATATATTTCATTTTTAATCTACCGAAAGGAAGCCGAAATCAAATTAGAACTAATTGAAATTTTTCGAATGTACCATAACTGATGCGACACTAAAATAAAGGGTTCAGTTTACAAAACTACAGTCCTGAAACAAAACCTCTTATTAAGACCCTCTCCCTCTAGTTCTTCAAAGGCAGTATATATCATTGATGTGAATTAAATTTCATGTAAAATCCATTTCATATAAAACATTTGTGAAATTACCTTATAATGTAAAAGTTTTCATTCAAAGTTATTTTTGAACTTTATTTAATGGTTTCAGTTTAATATCTTGTAGGGATCCTCACTTTTATCTATTAACCAAGTGTTGAGGAACCTAGTAAGCAGCTACATGAATAATCGCTTGAGTTCAGGAATAGAAACGTAAACTCAAGAAGGGTTAACTATCTTTTATTGCTCAAAATAAAGATAGACAGATGGCCCCATTCTCAGGACGTATAATAAAGCAATCACTTGGGATTAAACTCAAAAATATAAGAAATAAGAATTAACTAAAGAGAATTAGCCGAAGCTAGCACAATTTCTAAACTAATCGGCCCGTAATATTACATTAGCTAGCAAAGTTATCAAGGGCACGTAGTACGAGCGAGCTTAGTAACAGCTTAGAGAGACGTAGCCAAAAGGCAAACGTGCGCTATTAAGGAATTCCAATTGTAGAATTGAAATATATTTTGGTTCCATGGCCGTTTTCGTAATTTTCTTTTATCTGAAGTTAATATGAGCTTCTACGAAATCTTCATTGAAAGTCCTTGACAATGCATTTTTTTTCCTAAACAGACCTTACCTGCGTGCGATGCATCACATAATTTGTAGAAACATTAGGTTAATTTTTGGAAGCCAGAGAGATGAAAAATGAGCAACCGCCTTCGCCGGGAATCGAACCACGGACCTCTGGAATACCGGCCCAGCGTGCAGAACCACTACCCCACGAAGGATGCTAGGAAAGTGGTAGAAACACTTTATATACTCCCCTTTTTAAAGGGCGACTAGGGTTTTAGGGAACCTAGTCGCCAAATCCTGGGTGTGGAGAATCATCATCCACAACCCTTTTAGTACGGGCGCCACTGTAGAGACATTAGGTTAATTTTTGGAAGCCAGAAAAGATGAAAAATAGCAACCGCCTTCGCCGAGAATCGAACCACGGACCTCTGGAATACCGACCCAGCGTACAGAACCACTACACCACGAAGGACGCTAGGAAAGTGGGAGAAACACCTTATAAATATAAAGTTCATTTTCTGAAGGAACGCGGGGACAAGAAGAGAACTCTCATAACTTAGTTTCACCATGCTTGGAATTTTGGTCGGTCATAAGTTTCTCACTGGTGAGGACTTTGTGCCGATTTAAAAAAAGGACAGAAAAACCTCTCTCCGCCTCTTTTTAAAAAACACCACCTCAGCTGCAAAACCGCGATTGATTCGCGGTTTTGCAGCTGAGGATGGTGGTTCGGTAAAACCATCGAAACTAGTGCTGTGAAAATTTTGAAAATATAACGCTGATTTTTGTTGTTTGACTTCTGAGTTTGTTGTATCTAGTTAGGCAAAAAAAAAAAAAAAAAAAAAAAAAAAAAGAAAGCCAAACACATTTTATATTAATTAATTATGTGTCATATTACATACTTATACATATCATAGAAATTTTCTTATGCTCAAGTTTTATATTGGAACGTTAAGTCCTCCTCTTACGTGGATATGAATTGAGAAATAAAGCATTAATGCTGAGCACAGAATATCGAGTCACTTTAGGCAAGCCTGAACAGTCAGTTATCTTGTGGTTCAGCACTCTCGGTCAACGAACTAAAGACCTTTATCACTGGGCCGAGTTCCCTCCCTGCATCCTGTTTAGTTTACCTATTTACTCTCTATCGTTGTGACCTCTAATGAAATAATTGTTATTTTGCAATAAGAGACGCCAATATTCTTCATCTCAGTTGATTACTTCCGTTATAGATTGCTTTTGTTTTATTATTTTCACTGCGAATTGTACTTCCTTTCTTTTCTAATTATCTGCAAAAAATCCATATCCATATTTCATCGCATAAGACATTTCATGTATTTTTGAAGTAATTTCATAGTAAAGCATACGCTCTGATTTTAGAGAATTGTTTAGCTTCCTTTCAGCATCTGGACTACAATTAATTCAGTAACAATGAAAAACTAAAGTATGAACTCAAATTTCTGATATCCATGTCATTTTACTAATTCAGAAGTCAAACAACAATATTTTTGTTGTTTGACTTCTGAATTAGTATTTATTCGGCGTGTTATTGTGTCTTAATCATGTCATTTTACTTATTAATTGTCTAGTCGTTGATCAAAATTCGATCGTACACTAAGTGTGAGTTTTAAAAGCACACATTTTCCTCGGTGAATTAATTTCATATATCTAGTAGGCCATATTGATTCATAAAATTAACAATTCAGATATGAGAATCAAATTGTTTTAATAATAATTTAATCAGAAACTGATTTTTCTTACATCTAATGCACAGATCGAAATCTCTGACAATGTTAATAATAAAGCTTCATTCATCAAATATGCTATGAGGTGCAGTACTGAACAATAACATCCACATTTATCAGTGACTGATAATAACTCCTATTTTAATAAATAATTACTCAAGAGATATCGAGATATTTTACCCCGTTTGCTTCCACCATACTGTCACCTGGGTTATTGATGGAATCCATAATGAAATAGCTTTCGAATATTACGACACACAATGAAGATAAAAGCAAAGATGTGAAGAGATTCTTATGCATAAATATCCGATGCACTCGTAGTTGCCTATAAGAAAGAAATAAGCTTAATAATACTAGTTACTTTAGCATTTATCGAAGTAATATTGTCTAAACATAAATATTTAGTATATTAAGAAAAGGCTACTACAGATGTTATTTCCTTAATTAATAACCCTAGATCAGGGATTCTAAGTGCTTATAAATAACTTAAAGATACTGATTAAACTAAAATACGAACAAAAGTTTTGAACTAAAAATGTTTTCTTTTTATTGAATATTTAAACTCCTTGTGCACCACAGAGTATTACAAAGGCTTAGAGACGTAAGTAAAATAACAAACAAATACAGCGACACAAAATAAAATAAACTTACAAATTCACAGATGACACGTAAGAGATAAATATACAGAAGAAAGAGAATGCCATTTTATCTTGAACAAATACGTGAAGAGGGGAGAAAATGTAATGTTCATAGAGTTTAACTTAGAAATGAGTTCTTTTCGTCCTTTCGTAAGCTGTGAACAATAGAACAACAAATGTTCGACATTTTGCATTCCCCCGGAGCTGCAGGAACACAAGTCAGTATTAGATAACGCAAATCTCTTCAGATATGAGTTGAAATTACGATGTCCAGTTTTACATTTCAAAAATTGCAGAAATTTTTTTTATTATTCAGTCTGTGAAGAATGGAAGGGAAAAATAATTTAGTCAAAGAAGCTCTAGTACAATTTCTGTATAATTTATTCCACTTGAGTTTTGTTTCATCCCTACTTTTTTTTCTTAAAGAGTAGGAATGAAAAAAAGGGATTTATTTGATTTATGTTTTATTATTTATTGTATTATCATTTTCAATTTTACAAATATAAATAATATTTTAGAAACATCATCATAGATTCTAATTGCGCAAATTTTCGATTTGAATCAGTGTGAGGGCTAAACTTGATGTAAATGAAAATTCAACCTATTTCTTGCTTTATGTAGTAAATTATTGACTTCACTAAAAAATCTGCTTCTACTAGGTAAGAAAAACTAGTAGATAAGTGGATAATGCTGTTCGGTAGCAATTTTTCTTTGGGATATTTCTCTCGGACGACTTTTAAATTCCAAAACTTATTGTTTTGAATAAGACTTGTGCTTGAACATCCTCCTCCAATGCAATCAACTCTTCTTGCATCATAGTATCAAGAGCAGATACATTGCAGTCCAGCGGTTTTATCAGCCATATTGGCACATTGAGATTTTCAATGAGGGTAAGCGAACAGTATCTTTTAAATTTTGTAGGTGGCATGTGCATAATAATATAATGAAATAGCTCTATATCAATAAACTAATTATCCATTTTATCAGTACATTTTTGCAATCAATGGGATCTTGATTATTCCAATCATTTATCGGTGCACATTTCCCTATTGACACCATGATAATCACTGACCTTCTTTAAAGTTTCATTAATCCCGCTGAAAACCCTGTCCTAGACAAATGCAATAAATTTTAAGACAATCACCGTTCCTTCTAATAGTTTCGGTTTACTGGGTAATAGTTTGGTGGAGGAGGTAGCCTTAAATGAAGTAATATTCAGTAGTATTGTTTATTTCCTAAGATTTCGTCTTACAGGAGTGATATTAAGTATTTACTTTTATTTATTTCTCAAAAATATTATTTTAGGAGGTGGTATAGTTAGGGGGGTAGTGGCCACGAAAGTGTTTCATTGTATTTTTGTTTTGAAATCGTCACAAAATAAGGTTGTTGTTTAATCGATAATGGCAAAGAACACAAATGCATCTGCATGAAGAATGCTTCCGTGGAGAACTTTTCAAGCGAATTGGCAGTTATTTACGTTACATATAAAAAACTATGAGAATGTCTATGCAACCACTTAAAGACGTTAGAATCCAGATATAACTAACCATTTTCAACAGATTTAGCCATTAGGTAGTGGTGGTCTACCAAAAAAGGGACAAAATTTTATGAAGGTTTCTAAAAATTCAAAATATAGCTTTTTATATAACTTCCTTACAACTAAAATCCAATTTTTTAAATGTTTAAAATGCTTTTCCAAGTTAAATAAAAACTGTTCCATGCCTTTATATGCAAAATTCGAGAAGATGTTAGAAATTAACGTTTTAATAAGGCTAGGGGGCTAGAAAGATAAAAAGAAATGCTATTTTACTCAATACAGAATCATTAATCGTGAAAACGAACATTTAATTTTCTTAGTGTTTCTCAAATTTCATTGAATACGCGGTGTACCACACAAACATAGAAATTCGTGTTTGCCGTTCTGTTACATATCGCGCTCTTCAAACTGTTACAAGATGTGAGACGACATACTCTGCAATAATAAGAGCAATACCTTCTCAGTAGCGCCTTAACTTGATATTACAAGAGTTTAACTTGCCCCAAATGTCAGAGGATTTTAGCGATCTGCTTTGTGTCTGTCATCAAAGCCTCTCGAAGTCAGGGGGAGAAAAAATCAATGACCTTTAGTTTTTTAGATATCACCTTAAAATATAAGGAATCAAAGGATGTAAATTACAACTGAAAAATAAGAACACTGCGTGATTAATTCAGCCTGCTAACTGTTTCAGACGAAGCAAAATCACAGCTCGAAAACTCTCGACCAGAGAAACTCTTGCCGCTAGCAAGATTATTACATTATAAGGACAAAACTTATTTTCTACATAACTCGTTTCTATACATTCAGTATGAATTTTCAATTGCAGTTATTTTATTGTTTAATAGAGTTTCTCGTAGATTTATAAGAAATGTGTTTTTTGTTCTATAAGCAGTAAATAATACGCAATCTAACCAACAAGCAAACTTGTTAGCTAACAAACCTATATGAAGTACCTCCATTAGCTCACTAAAGAACTTCATTTTAAATATATGGGATGTATAATCATTAAACAATGCAAAACTTTCTAAAGGAGGTAAACATTTTCCGAATTTTTGCATTTAGTGAAAACAGTAAGCATAATGAGCAAGCTGCTAATTTGACTTTTTTTTAATTTAAGAAAATTCTAAAAATTTAACATTAAAAATTTCTGAAGTGGTGAATTTGGTAACACCATCTTGGCATATTTAAAAAGTAAGGGGCAATAAAAAATGAAATACTGGGACATAAATTTACAATTTCAAAATGAATTTAAATGAAAATAATTTAAAACAAAGATGATTTTGGTATCTGGTATCGTTGTAGCATTACAAAAATATATTCAGAAAAATTAAACAGAGATCAAAAGTATGGATCATTACAGAAACCTTAAAAATAAGCTATACGAGGAAACATTATATGTGCGGCAGAAACAACTCCATTTAAAAAAATCTCCGTGCGTTGCCAAAGCAGGTAGGAGGATGCGGTCCGTTGTCAGGAACGGTACTTAATAATAAAATTTTCAGTCGTCAGCATGCAATGGTCGGGTTAGCATCGAGACTTTGTAGTGGAAGCATTTTTTAAAAATGGCAAATCTGAAGTTGCGTTGCACAGGCCATTTCGGTGTACGTGCTGATGAAAGTGTTTCAGAGAGAAAAACGATTTTGCTGTGGCTTCAAAGAGCAACAAAATCTGCACTGAAGAGAAAATTCCTCGGATGCCCCCAAAATGTAAGAAAACATCACCGTAATAAAAGCCTCTATTCATCTGTCTCCAATGTGATCAGCACGGAAACATTATTCAGCTCTTAAGGTTTCGGAAAAAAACGGTGAGGCAAATTCTGCGTATTGACCTATATTTACGGTCGAGAATTGTATCCAGCAGATTGGGAATGAAGTATCGATTGTCGCAATGGGATCCTCGCAGTTACGTCTTCCACTGACAGAAGCCCACGTCCACCTTTCTGGCACAGACAAAATTTCGCTACGTGTTTGCTGAATTTCCTCGAGAACTCTATACACGACGTCTTCACAACTCAAAAGTGACCGTTTTTGTGCTGTGTTATAGGTGTCAGGGGACTTGACGTTTGTGAAAAAGGTAGGGTCACAAATGATTCTTATCAATACTGCAACATGTTGGAGAATTTTCTGCGCTCGAAAATTGAACAGTATGGGGAAGAGTATGTGGTACACAATACACAGGACTTCTAGTTTCAACAGGAAAGAGCTGCGACCCACACGGCTTATAAAGCTTATCGTCCGCGTGAAATTTTGCACGAGATATTCCCGGGTCAAATGGTTTTCTTATTCGACACAGGGCCTTCGCGCTCGCCTGATTTAAAGCCCCTGTGGCATTTTTTCCGGGGGGGGCACCTAAAGGTTGTCTTTTTAAACATCTTTCTCTGTCCTTGGACCAACTAAAGAAAGCTATTCAAGACGAAATTGAATGAATTTCTCACAGCACGCTACTGAGAGTAATGGAAAGCTTTCAAGGATGGCTCAAAATGTGTAATCAGCCGTCCCGATCAAAGAATATTAAAGTAAAAGAACTTTTTTATATCCACATCTGGGAAATCGTTTTTGGTGATATCTCGCAGCATTCTGTTTCAAATCCTTTTTGAAATGTGGGAGTTTATTTCTGCTTCACCCTGTATTTAGGTTTATAATTAGCGAATGTATCTCTCCTAAAAATGCCTAATTAATCAGCTTTTCAGTCAAAGCTTAAAACTTTTTAATTAAAACTTAGTTAAGCTATTGTAATGTATAAAATATAGAGATAAAATTAAAACAACGATTTAAAAATTTAATCAAGAATTTGATGATGATCTGCAGAAAAACTGAAAGATAATATATTTTTTAATATGTACAATAGCTTAAATTAAATGTTCTCGAGGTATGCGAGAAAATTAGGCAATTCATGAATTAAATATTGCACCTATGCGTGCAGACGGAATGGATTTAAATATTTTAAATTTCACCTGCACTTAGAGGTCCAATTTTTAACGTAAAATAAGTCAATGTATATAGTAAGTAATAAAAATAAAAATTCTCACCTGTACGAGAAAAATATAACCAGCGCGGGAATGAGCAAGAGAATTGAGATTATGAACGTCACAAGATGACTTTTCAACAGTATTCTGATATCCTGCCATTGCAAAAACTTAGTGTGAGAATTATTTACATATTTCTTCTCACATATATATAATTCAATGTAACAGATCAACATAAAATGTTATATTAGCCGTCCTTAGGAATATACACTTTGAGACAAAATAATGATAATAATCATAATAATGATAATAACAGTGGTAATAATAATAATAATAGTAGTAGTATTAAAACCCATAACATAAAGATATACCTGATTTCTGACGAAATTTCATGTGCAAATACCATTCAGCTCAACTTGCTAATGATTAAATTATGGTGGCCAGTAAATGAATAGCTGGAGCTACAGAACATCGCAACTACGAAGCGAGGTTCAGATGTTACACAACGGAGAAGAAATTTCAGACTTAGGGTAAACCTAGGGCAGGGTTCTAAACCTAGGAATAATTTCCATCAAAAATTTGATTTGCCTTATTCATTTTGACGGTCTCAAATGGGTTCACGTTTTTTATACGTATGTATACCACCAGTTGAGAAAGAACGTGCAATTGATTTAAAAGTTGCATAATTGTCAAATCGAAAGATCTCTCGACATTTAGGTGACAGCTATGTTATTCTTCTAGGATGTTGGTGGGAATGATTGAGCCACGGGCAGAGTTTAACGTCAAAAAGATAGGATTGGATTATTGGATTATGGCAAAGCACACGAGGGCTATCTGCCTAAAGGGAGGAATGCCTTCGTGGAGGACTTTCTAAGGAAAACTGGCTCGTATATACGTTACACATGGGGAAAAGCACGAAAACGCCCATGCAGCCAGCCCGTTTGCGGGATTCGAACCTCGGACCAAACTACCAGTGTTCAGCGTCTTTACCGCTCGGCCGCTGGTGGGCACCGTCAAAAAGATAGTTATAAAGATTTAGAAGGACTACAAAATGTGAAGACAGAGCTGTCCGAAACAGACAGCATCTTAATTAATCATTGTCAACCGATTTCACGAGTAATCGAGACATCAATAACCTGCAAGCCCCATTGATAGGCGATTCAGAAAACAGGATCTGTCTTTACGAAGCTCATTCTACCGATAATCTCTCATTAGTGCATATGATAATCGCGTTTGCAGTGGTATCGTTTGTCCAAGGATATTACCTAGTCAAGCAGAATTCTTTTTAGCAATGAGTCCTCTTCCCAAGAACCATGATGATCAACTATGTCTGGAGACGCATCGGAGGTGCTCAGGAAAGCGTTGGAATACTGTCCCAACTGGTCAGCTATTACACAGCTAGACAGTATAGACTTATGGTCTGGGAGGGCCTTTCCGTTTGATAGACGAATCCGTTGTCATGCTTGACATCTTTTCGCTTGTCAGTAAATGGACGATATTTTACGCTCAGTTGTGTCGCGCTACCTTTCGAGGTATGGAAAGTTATATTGCAAATATGGCCTATATTGCAAAACGATAATACCATTAGTGGTCTATATTGCAAAACGATAATACCTAGTTGAAAAGTTAGATCACAAGATCTCTTCCCAGTAGGATATGTTTGGTGTTCTACTTTCCCAGGATGTCGCTAATCTAGATCGACAATAGGAGAATGTTTGGCAATACATTTCCATCGCTTCTTTTCGTTACATACAGGGTGTTTCATAAATCATGGGACAAACATGGAGGGGTGGTGGAGCGTACTAAAACATGCATTTTTTATAGGAATGTAGGTCTAAAGTGGGTTAAGGCAGGAACGAAAAAAAAAAAAAAAAAAACTTGACACGAGAGGAAAATGTGTTTATGTACAAAATAAACGTAAAGTGCTTCTTTGTAGCAATACAGTATTCACAATAAATGTTCAAAATTGCAACCACCAGCAATGATACATGCTTGGTAACGTGGCAGAAGGGATTGACGAACATTTTGAGAAACGATAGGCATTTCGCGCACGCTTGCAGCCGCAATGGATAGTCGTGCAACGAGGTCCTCCAGTGAGTCAACGGGAGTCTCGTAAATGATGCTATTCAGATGTTCCCCATTAAAAAATCCAAGATTGGATTTAAATCTAGCGAAAGAGGTGGCCATCGAACGGGTCCACCACGGCCCAATGCATCGGCCGGGAAATGTCCCATCCAAGTAATTGCGGACCCGCACGTGGTTATGGACTGGTGCACCATCATGCTGAATCACATGCGATCACGAACGACAGCCGGAACATCCTGCAGCAATTCCGATAGCACCTCTTGTAGAAAAATATGATAACATAAGCCATTTGTACGTGCAGATAAGAGGTATGGGCCTATGAGGTAGTCGTTAACAATACCCGCCCACACATTTACGGAGAAGCGGGTTTGGAATGCATGTGGACGTGTGCCATGTGGATTATGAGTTGCCCTTACGTGCATGTTGTGGCTATTGAGGATGCCGTCTTGTGAGAAAGTTGCCACGTCCGTGAATAGCAAATCCGATGGAAAATCCGCCTGCGCCGCACACTATTGCACGAACCAATGACAGAAATGATCTCAAAGAGGGTAATGTGTCTCTTGCAAGGCTTGGACTCTCTGCAAATGGTATGGGTGCAAACCAATTTAATGCAATAATCTCCAAACGGTGGAATGACTCAGCTGCAGACGACGTGCTATAGCTCTTGTACTTGTCTGAGGTGATTCCTGCACAGTGTTCAAGATGACCCGTTTTCACACAGAGACCGATGCAACCCCTCGAACATTGTGTGCTTCGGCATACGCCTGTTCGAAAACCGTTCCTGTTACAACCGTAGCGCTGCTCTGCCGTTCCGATTAGCAGCACCATACATGAGATGCATGCCAGTTTTTTCCCTGTGCGTAAACTCACTCATCACGCTCGACATCAGAGTTGCGAATGATCCTCTGATGCATCGGATCGTGGTTTGTCCGGCTCACTACCGCCCTCTACCACTGCATTGCCAGCCAATCACAATAAATGTTCAAAAAGGGAACTGTTAGTGTTCCCTTTCTTGAACATTTATTGTGAATATTATATTGCTGCAAAGAAACACTTCGCGTTGATTTTGTACATAAACGCATTTTCCTCTCGCCTCGTTTTTTTTTGCGCTCCTGCCTTAACCCGTCACTTTAGATCCTACATTCCTATACAAAAAATGTATGTTTTAGTACGCTCTACCACCCCTCCAAGTTTGTCCCATGATCTATGAAACACCCTGTATACATAATATCTGCAAAATTCTTATTCTTTTAAGATACGCTTACTTTGATGCGTCTTTTTTTTCAAAAATAATTTAATTGGACACAGATTAATTTTATTACTAATCCGAATCATTAGTAAAAGTACAGGCGGTTTTAATTTTCAGAAGCCGAGGTTTTAAAAGTTTTTTCTTCAGGAATAGAGGAACAAGTTTTCAGAGTTTTGAAAGAAAGAGAAGAATTTGAGGCTTCAAAGGCATAAAGGATCTACTCTCCTCGTCTGCTGTCGGTGATGCTGCTTTATTGAAAAAAAAATAAATGCTTACATTATTTCGATACCGCTTCATTTTGTCTGCAGTACTTTTCTTTTTGTTGCCTTTTTTCCATGTGTTTTAAAGAAAGAACTTATTCTCATCCTGGTAATCATCAGACAATCAAATCTGAAACTTTGAAATGTCTGTTATTTGTGCTTGGCCGAATTCAATGAAAGATGGCTGACAAACAAAATTCTGAAAAAGGTAGTAATGAAGTACTTGATTTTCAACTTTCTGCTGAAATAAATTGGGTATGCAACAGATTGCTGTGCGACTGTATTAAGTATCGGAATTGCAAGATTTGGGTTGCTGTGCAACTATATTAAGTATCGGAATTCCCTACACTTAACTTCCTTTTAAGGAAGGTAGGGAATTTTAAGCATAGTTATCTGAAAAATTCTAATGTATAAGTAATGCATTACTAGGAACTTAAACAATGAACACACGAAAAGCAAGAAGTAAATTTTAGTAAAAATCTATGAGATTGTACCATGTACAGTCAAAGAGATATTAACGTTTACTAAGAATAAGTTTCAAACACACAGCTCAAAATCATTCTGTCATAAGCAAGACATATTGCTTATTTTTAATGTAAAACTTGTTAAATAAATACAAATATTACTAATTATACACAAATTATATAAAGAATGTAGTTTTAGCAAAGGCGGAATCACTGAAACAAGCAGACATTGTCTTGCAGATACTTCTTAAATTTATTCTCAAAAGTGTTTCTTTTGAGAGTTTTCTTTTCTTCAGCAAATATGCATAAAAAATGACGCAGCTCAGCATATTTGCCAATATAGTTCGAAAATGTATGTGATTATTAAATGTATTTCATATTATTATCATTATATTAATGGTATTAAATCCGGGATTCATATTAAAGCATTGCAAATAGCTTTGTAATTAATTTTTTACTTTATAAGTTAATCCTTTACTTATTCTAATTTTAAGAGATTTTAAAGTAAGTGTCTTTGATCAATATTTAAGAAAATAACGCTTATAACTACATGTTTCGGAGGCTCTTATGTTCACATATTCCTTAATAATATTAATATTCCAGAATCCCGTTAAAGCACACAGGAAGTTTGGAAAAAGAGTGTTTTAAATCTTTTAACTAATGTAATTTAAAATGACTAAGGGATTTCCCTTCTTTACATGTGTATATTGCTCCAGACAATTAGTATACATCAATACTCATGTAATATGCTTAAGACAATAAAAGTGCATCATTATTTATAACTAGACTTCAGGCAATATTCGCGTGTAGGAATCTTACCTTACTTTGGGCACAAGTAGAGTAATTGCTGTATTCATTTCCTTTGTGGTTTCGAAACCACGTTGAATTTTCCCAGCAAGTCTTTGTAGCAAAATCTAAAACAACAACAACAAAAAAAATCTATTTTTAACATTTCCGATATTATGAATTTCATATAGAATATGTTTAAACTGAAAAATACTGAGAATGTGTTAATTAAATCAAGAAAAGTTTTCATTTGTTTACCTCAGTTACATCTTTCGGCCATATCGTTAACTATTTTCAGAATTATACTGAACGATTTGCTGTCATTGTAGGAACATGTCATTGAAGTTATATGCACGAAACTTTTCTCTAAATATCAGATAGGTTTTTTTTAGCCCAAAGGGCGTTAGCCCAGAAGGGCTATTAATTTCGTTTTGGCATTTTGAAAACTTTAAATGTCGGTTCCTTTTTCAAACTGTTGCCACCAAATACTACAGCGCGGTATTATATTTAAAGAAATTAAATAATAAAGAATCTGCATAAAGGCATGCATGTATCTGATATTGGGATAAAACAACGGTACTATCCAATTTTGAATAACGTACGTTTCTACCCGAATATAGGCATCAGGAAGCCAACATTTGGAATTTGGAATTTGTTTTATTATCTATTTCATATTTTGTAAAACTGTAACGAATTTTTGATTAAAAAAATCATTTTAGGTTCATTCAACCAATAAATTTTAGGTTCACTGAAATGAAGTTTTATGAAATACATTACTGATAAAGGAAAGAACAGCAAGAGTTACCTAAGAGAGATTTCCAAAAATGGAGATTTTTTTTTCTAGAGTAATATTTATTATATTGTTCTAGAAATCTCCATTTCTATTGTTAGATAAAAATCATCAAAGATATACACAGCCAATATTAATAGATAATCAATAAGATTTTGAATATATATTATGTTTATTAAAGCCATAATTACACGTACAGGTAATTTCCAGACACAGGTATCGATACTTACGAGTGCACTGTGGTTCATCGCTATGAAAATATATGTAAGGGGGACAAATTTCTTTTGCAACAGTTCCATTTGGTGTATCTGGCCAACAATTCCACCCATCCCATGTACGAGGACAAATGAACTTATCTACAAGAAGTAAATGAAATTAAAATTACAAACACAAACTAAACCGAAAATTACAAACACAAACTAAACCGAAATTTACAAACAAATGCTGACTAGATATGCATTAAAAATAAGGCAACAGATCAGTTTCAGAACCCCAGGTTTAAAAGAAGAATACTTTAGCAGATTTCAGACCTAAATAATTTACAGTGAACGATTCGAAAATAAAATTGAAGAAAAGAAGAAAATAGTATACAGATCTCCAAAGTTCTTATTTCAAATAATTCCAATCGATAAATGAAAATAATCACATCGTTTTATATCATTTATTTAAATATTTCTTTATTACATACTACATGTGAAATTTAACATGTTTTTACATCTAAGACATAAATGTTAAAGGATTAATTATTTTTTTCAGAGCTTTGAAGTCTCTTCATTTTTACATGCCCAATCGGAATTTGTTGATATTTCTGCAAGAAAAGTTTGTTATTAATGCTAATAGCACAATGGAATACTGTGGGAATAATTTTAGTATTTATTCATGTTAAACGAACAGGTAATTAACAGGAAACGGCATTAAGGATACCAATGCCTTTGTAAGAGCTAAATGGACTTCTATAAAAGTAAGTATGATTTTTGTAATTACTGAATGCGTTCTTTTCTGTGCTGATAGGGCAATATGATTAGGTGGATCAGTGATCAAATCCGGAATGCAAACATTTTACATCCATCACAAGAAGACAAAGTCACCAAGAAAAAAAGCAAACGAAAGGCGGAAAACCATAACGTATCTGTGGTTGATAAAAGAATAAAAAAATGTAATTCGGTGTTAGAAGAACTTCATCTGAGACACTTGGATGTGAATCAAGGGTTGCAGAGACATTAGGTATTTTCGAAGCAGGAGACATGAAAAATAAGCAATGACCTAGCGGGACTCGAACCTCGGATCTCTCGAATATGCACCGAGCGTGCTGAGCATTACACCACGAAGGCATGCTAAGAAGGCGGGATAAATACCTTATATACTTCCCCTTTTAAAGGACGATTGGGGTTTAGAGGACCCAGTCGCCAAATCCTGGTGGTAGAGAGTCATCACCCACCAACGCCCACCACCAGCCTAGACACTGATTCTCGCATGGAGGTAGGAAAGGGAGGAGGGGCCATTCCGCGCTAGAAGTGAAGCACTGCTTTGAAGCTTGGGTCACCAGACGGGGTGTTATTTGTTTACATTCAGAAGCTCGCTTGACAAGATTCTGATAGCATTTCGACACACGACAGTTCCATAGAAATCGAAAAAGGGACACTCTCGCATGAAAGAAACATTCATAGTGGGATGGATAATAGCAATTTGTATAGTTTACTGACATTTACGCAAAAAATCACATCTGGTTATTTTTCGATAACTAACAACAGCGATTTTGATTATGAATTTGTTTTTATAAAATTCTAAGCTGTTGCACTACAAAAATATAGATTTTAAGAAAATTGCTAAAAGAGATCTGCCAAAAATTTATTTTCTAGAAGATTTGAAAAGTTTGAAACTTGATGGCTAAAATGTAAATATAAAAATATGTATGTTTAAAATATTGTAATTAGGCACATAGGTCAGATTAAGTTTTTATTAAATAGAGTAACGCAGCAAGGGCTATCTGCCTAAAGAGAGAGATGCCATCGTGGGGGAATTTTGAAGAAAACTGACCTTTGAGTGGGTATTAAAAATAATACTTATAATTTTCATTCAAATTATATTCATATATATTTTTTATGTAAAACTTTCGGGTGTATGCTAAATTAGTGTAAATTACTTTACACGAAAAATATAGTGAATGCACAGAAATTAAAGATTTGCACATGCCGGAAATGATAAATAGGAAATATGTATGGGTATTTATGCATGTGCTTGCAAAAAGCATGTATCTGCCTTTGACAAAATACTTAAATATTCATTAAATTATTTATAAATGTATTTGAAATGAAGAATTTATTCCCTTATAAAAAACTGTGAAAGTACTGTGAAGAAATCTAATGATTAAATGTATCTAATTTATAATGATTATAAATATTATCTAAATATATAATAACCTTAATATTGAATTGTAAACATAAATTGAAATCCTGTTGACAAATACGTTATAAAACTATTTAAGCAAGAATTGTTCGTATTGGAAAGCAATCTGTTAAAAGGTATTGTAAAGCAAATGCTATGAGATGCGCACTTAAGAACGTAATAAAGAGTTTTGGAATATGTATTGTTGAAATGAAGGGTAAAAAAAAAATCTGATAAGTATAATTAAAAGAATTATTCCCTTTACATTTTATAATAACTCAGTTGCAAGTTTTAAATAATACTTTAAAAAAAAACTTATTTTATTCCCTTTCAGAAAATGTTCAGAGAAAGTCAAATACTATTAATAACTATTTAATTATTAGGAATTAGCGAAATACTTATTTAAAGTATTTCGTTAATTCCTAATAATTCTCTAATTTAAAATGAACCGAATAAAGCATTAATTATAAATTGACTTACATTTTTCGATTTAAAAGAAGCCAAAAAAAATCATGTCATATTTAAGAAAGTATTTTAGGAAGAAGCTCTATAAATAGAAAAGAAATAATGCATAATTTTAATATTAATAATACAATAAACTTTGATCTTAATTTTTGTACCTTAACCGAATAAAATCGAATTACCTTAATTTTTTTTTCTAATGTAATTAACGAAAACTTGTGAAAATATTTCATTCAAATTAAAACCATTCTGAGAAAACTGTCCTGTGAAAAGTATAGCATTTAATTCCGTTCAGAATGAAATGTTGTTTAAAATATGTTGTTTTCACATACTTAGGACTCTGAAGTGTTGTAGGAAAAGAAAATATATACATTTATATGTATATTTGCGACGTAATTACAAAATATTTACACCCGAACGCGTCAAATCCCATAGAACTCAATGGTAAATGACCCAATGTTTTGGTCACCACGTAGGGATCGCCGGTGCTTCAGAGCAGGGTACGGAGAAACTTGTTTAGGGCGACTCCTTCTTACTTCCTACCTCCATGGATTCTCGGCGTACCTGTATCTAGAAGGAGCCTGTAACACGATACCAAAACTCCTTACGGTGGTGGAGGTGTAATGGTTTTGCGCAAGCATTATGTTGAACGGTAGTACACCCCTGCATGTATTTCACAAAAGCTCCCTGACTGTCATGGCATATACAGAGGAGATTTTAGAGAACTATGTTCGCTTTTTTTAGGCGAGCAGCCGGTCCTTTTTTTCTGTTAATGGACGACAACGCTCACTCGCATAGAGCTTAGGTGGTCGAATTACATGGAAAGTAAGGATATTCGCCACATGGATTGGCCAGTCAGATTTCTTGACTTTAAGGGTTCTCAGGAGGGTAATTTCATCTCGCCATCCCCCTATGATAACCATTCCAGAGAGAAAAAACTGCTTTGCTGCAGGAGTGGGACTTAACTGTCCCAGAAACTCCTCAACTGCGTACTACCCAGCATGCTGTGGCACATCACTTCAAAAGAGCTCCGCGCGACGCTGCAGGAAAATAGATAAATAAATTTGATGAAATTAAAGACAAAAGAAACAAACAAATAAACAAAAATGCATCCAAAACTGTTTAAAGAAAAGTCTAGATTAATCGTAAACAGACTTAAGCACGGTTTTGGCAATTCAAATGATGAAAATATAATAAAAGCTCTTTTTTTCCTCCTCATATCCTAAAAGAAGAAGTAATTTGATTTTAAAATGCACATAATTGTAATATCTCCATCAAACGGTCACAAAAATAATATCGATAAATTCGGAGAATACAGTTCATAGTATGAGTAGATATTTTGTACCATATTTTGCTCATGAACCTCCGTTTGTCAAATAATAACCTTCCTTGGCAAATCAGCGGTATGACTGATGACGTGAAAGGGACGATATCAGTCGTTTTAAGTTTAGCAAATTCACGCAGCAAATGGACGAAGTGGCTCGCGTAGCGGGGTTAGTAATTTTAAGGGTTCCTTATACTCAGTTACTAAGCTATCAGGAGGAATTTCTTCTCTGTCGACTACTGCCAACCATAATGCATACCAAGTGAAATATTTAAACTTTTAGATAAATTCTTAGCTCTAATGAAATACCATCCAGAAAAACTGTGCAGATTTGTGCACTAATGATGCAAAGGAAATGATGGGTCACAATGTTGGAACCATTGCTAAAATTAAAGATAAAACAAAGAAATGTAGAAGCAGCCATTGCATTCTTCATAGACATGCACTAGTCTCGAGAAAATGCCTTCTAAGCGTATGATAGTTTAAGTGATGCTATAAAAATAATAAACTATATGAAATCACGATCTCTTAAAAGCAGACTCTTCTGAAGATTAGGAATCCACCGTGAGCCCGTCCTGCTATACTCTGAAGTAAGGTTAAATCTCTAGGATACATTTGATCGAACGTGTGCAGAGGCGGATGTACTATTTTTGATGAACCATATTCGCTGTCCTGGAGACGATTGTAAATGATGAAGCCTAGGTATGCAAACTAACACATTTGGGCAACATGTTTAGAAAAATAAATGAAATGAATCTATCATTGGGAAGAAAAAAAACCACAGTTTTGGATGCAAACGTCTAAGCACCTTCTTTTAAAAGGAAATTCATGTAGTGGTTGGGAGTTCATGGGAAACGATATCGATTGGTTTACTCTTACAAAAAGCTTTTTCAATGAAAATAACATCAAAATGGAAGAAAAAATACAGAAATATATTCATAAGCAACTCAAAGCTTTAAAATATTTATTTGAATATTATTTTCCAATAGTTCAAGAGAAGATGTCTGACGATTTTAAATAGGTTCTGGATGCATTCAGCGTGACAAAAAGTTACCCAGCTTAAATTCAAGAACATACAACGTCTTTAGACTTTACATTTCACAGCGAACTAAAAACCACACCAAAGTCTACCCGAGTTTTGACTGCATTAACAAGATATATTTAAATCTAATTTGAGAAAGCATTAGTATTATTGCCTTTCCCAATTGTATATCTTTATGAAACGGGGTTTTCCTCCCATGTAAGTACGAAGACAAAATACAGAAGCCATTTAAATGCAGAATCAGACATTCACTGGCACACATTTTCAATTGAACTTTGGTAAGAAAATTGGGTAAAATTTGCAACCACAATGTATCTCATGTGTTATGTCTTAATTTAGACCTACTATTGCCCTATGCACATTAGTTAGTAAAATTAAATTGAAGATGTTTTTATTAAATAATAAAAAAAATGGGTATTTTTTTGCCATTAGCTGTCATTTAGCCGACTTAGGCTTGCCCACATCTAAGGCTGGAAGATGTAGCCATTTTATTATGGCAGCACCTAATATGTGGGCCACTGTCACCTCTTACGAAGGGAGGGACAATTATAGCCATGCCTTCTCCGGGATTCAAACGCGGGTCCTTCGGTATCGTAGTAGGCTTCCCTAACTATTATATCGTGTTGGTGGCATTTAATTGGATATAATGAATTTAATTAGAGAAGCTATGTTGATTATATGGATTTTTTATTGTTACTATCACCAATAACACCACTCTTGCAACGTAAATGGTTTGATTGATTAAATTTTTCAATAACTTCTGCAACAATGTATGCGGTAAAGTTTTGACAAAACCATAGGTATTAGTTCTCAGATGAAAATAAACAGAGATATTACTGCAAATTTCGAAGTTTTTTAAATAATGTTATTGCATAAGTATTTTGCTGCTCTTTAGATGTGTCTTTAGAGTCCCCTATTATTTACCCCCTCTTCCCCCTAATATTACTCTTAACACTGTTATCCTGTAAGATAATAGAGTACATCTAAGGGGCTCCTTCGTAGATATTGATTTTAAAAAGGGCTCCACGAGCCAGAACGTTTGGGAGCCTCTGTTCTTCGGTGCATGATATGATTCAGATTAAAAAAAATTGCATGCATTTAATTTTTACTTTCTGCTTTGTTTATTGCTTTCAGTTTTCACAATTTGTTTATTTAAACTCATAGAAATAGGTTTTGAAGCTCATTATTAAAATCATGTACACATATAATTAGACACTTTAATTCTACGAAAACATTTGAATTTTGTTTTCTTAGGAGAGTCGCTTTTGCAATAATGCATCATTAATTCTTGCCCTACACCCTTAATATACTTTCGTTACAGAAAACTTAACACGAGGAAACACTATAACTTATGTTCGCTATAAAACTTGGAAAAATATATGCGTTAACGTTTCTCGTTAAAACGAAATTCTTACGGCTATTTTTGGTTGATAAATATCACATTTTTGGGTTATAAACATCCTTGCACGAATTCTCAGCAAGCCATGAGAATTCTATTATAGATATTTTGAGAATCCTTTAACCTTCGTTGCTAACGGATCGCTACCAAGTCGAGGAAAATAAACACATCAATCACCAGTTAATCAGTATTTATTTATTCAATGTCAACTCAAAAAACCAAATCAAAATAAAAAGATCGCCAAATAGCGATCTTGTGGGGTTTCTTACCTGATGAGGGAGTGCTTCGCCTCATGTTTTCGCAGCATCTGACAGCAGCTTGACAGCATTGTATCCACAAATTTTCCACTTTACGAGTTCGAAACGTTTTGAAGATGGGGCTTGTGGTGTTTGAGAAAGCTGCTTCGTGTAATTCTCCGCTGGTACGGTTTCGTAGATACAAACCGGCTTGTTGGAATTTGGTTCTGCGGTGAAAGAAATACAGATTGCTGAACTCGATTCCACCATGAAAAATACAGAATACGTACTTTAAATAACAGTAATTTTTGAATTTGAAATCACTATTTTCTCAAAGCATTTTAATTAGTTTAAATTGTGTGGTTATGTGTCTATAAAGGGACTGAAGAGTTTCGAAAGTAATCAGTGGCTATTTGTTGTATATAAACGCAAAAGCAGCCATGCAGGCAACTAATTTCGTAATAAGGATTGAATAATAGATACGAGTACGAAAGCTTTCATTTAGCAGTTTAATCAACCGAGACAATAGTATACACTAATATTTTTAGTTTGTACGCCAACCAGACGTATAGTGGTTATGGAAGCCGATTGCGATACTGAAGAGCCTGGAGAAGACATGGAAATAAATTATTTAACCCTTCATAGGAGATAACGCTAGCGGCCTATTAGGATTGGATTGGATTATTTAATTATGGCGAAGCACGTAAGGGCTATCTGCCTAAAGGGAGGGATGCCTTCGTGGAGGACTTTCTAAGGGAAACTGGCTAGTATACACGTTACACATGGGGAAAACCACGACAACGCCCATGCAGCCAGCCCGCTCGCGGGATTCGAACCTCGGACCGAACTGCCAGTGTTCAGCGTCTTTACCGCTCGGCCGCTGGTTTTTAGCGGCCTATTAGGTGCTTCTTAATAAAATAACCACCTCTTCTGGCCTTAGTAAGTGGAAGCTTAAAAATGGCTAATGCCCGCCATAAAAAAGATCTTGACAAAAAGTTATTTTGTACCAATGCGACTCTTTTATCATATCCATAAATATATTTTATGCGGTCTCTTTTTTTTAAAAACCGTTGGCCGTAAATAAATATTCCATTTACAGCAATGATTTATATTCATGATACGACAGTTTTAAATTTAAAAAACCAATTTTGCAATAATTAGATGTCTATTTTTTATATTACCTTGGTCCCTATAATCATATTCCGCAAAAGATCATACTCGTTCAAAAAAAAATAAATATATAAATAAAAATAAAAAATAAATAAATTAATAAAACACAAAAAATGGTATGTCCCGTACGGCAAAAGCGACCGAGATATTTCATTTTAAAATATAAGATCGTGTTCAGGAGTCGCGAATAAAACGAAGAGCGAAATTTTTGCATTTGTAAGTGAATAAAAATGAAAAAGAAATTTAAGAAAAGATTTCTGACGTTAATAAATGAAGGAACAAGCATTGCTATACAGAATGTCGTAAAAATATTATTCAATATAATTTTTTTCAAAACTGAGCTCCTTATAAAATGTTACTGAAATCGTGTTCTAGAAACAGTATTGGCACATTACCAACACAAACATTTATTTTCATACATTCAAAGTGAAAATGATTTCTAGTTTAAAGATTTTTATATGACTATTAAATTATGATTCTAAACTAATGAAATTTCATGAAAATATTAATAATGTATTTACTACTTGTCGATTAAACCAGAAACTAAATAACTCAAGGAAAAAATTGTTGCCAAGTTTAGATCTCCGCCCCCCAAAAAAGATAAAAGAGCTTTTAAATAATGACATGCTAACAAAAATTTTAAAAAAATAATCAAAAAAACTTTTCTTGAAATAAATTTTTGCTTTTAGAAAGGTGCAATTCATTTTAAAGCGGCCATAAAGCTATTCTAATGAACAATGTATAAATCATGACGCTTTTAGAAAGGTAGCTAAGTAGCATCAAAGTACTAATTCAGAAGTCAAACAACAAAAATCAGCGTTATACCTACAAAATTTTCACAGGACTAGTTTCGATGGTTTTACCGAACCATCATCTTCAGCTGCAAAACCGCAAATGAACAAGATAGGAAATAATGATTAGATAAGATAAGAAAACCTGGACAAGAATAAGCAAGTGGCGCCGTCTGTTGGCGAAACCAGAACTAAAACATAATTTCTCTAAAAGCCGTAGGCAAATTTGGATTGGAATTAGGATCGTTAACTAGAACAGAAAAGATTTTTATGAATGTGAAATGCCTCTAGAAAATCCAGTTCTCCAATGGAAGATGTTTTTTGAATAATTTTGGCAGCAGAAAAATTGAAAGTGTGATTTTCGGACCAACAATGTTGAGCAACAGAAGACTTCTTGTTTCCTTTTTTCTAACATATGCCTCATGTTCTTGACGCGAAATTTTAACGCTCTCTTAGTTTTTGGCCAATGTAAAAATTAAACCACACTGGCAAGAATCCTATAAATACCCCAGGAATTCATATCCGGAATGGGGTCCTTGAGTATAGAAGTTGGAATTTTATTGATGGGAGAATAAACAACCCGAAAGTTAAATTTCTGCAAAATATGTGCAACTTTATAGCTAATTGATGGAAAGAAGGGAATGATAACAGAATTTTTATAATCTCCTAAAATAAGAGTGTGGCTTTTAGTGTGTTGAGATGAGAATTTTTTAACTTTAAACTGCTTGATTAATAATGTTGGGTGAAAAGCCCCTGTCAATAGCTATTGCTTTTAAAAATAATTTAGTTCTTCATCAAGGGCTAGTTTTGGAGGAGCAAACTTGAAGAGCACGGAAAACATAGGAATAAAATGAAGCTAACTTTTGTTTAGTCGGATGACATGATTTAAAGTGTGGTGGAAGGCAAACCGATGAAGGTTTACGGTTAAAACTGTAGTACTGAAGTTGGATGTGTTACGTGTGACCAGAATGGTCGAGAAACCGGAAGAGAATTGCAAAGTCTCAAGTTCAAAAGTGAACTGAATAGCAGGATCAATAGATTCATTGTTGAAAGACTTTATTTAAATCATCTTTATTACCTTCAAACAGGGTAAAAGTATCGTCTACGTAGCGGAACCATGCCGGGAAGTTTAAAGTTTCAAACAATTTTGATCATCAATAATGCATGTAGATATCGCCAGGATGGGACTGAGGGGGCTTTCCCATGGCTAATTCCTCAGTTTGCTTGTAATATTTATTTTGGAAAACAAAATGTGTTTGTTTCAAACAGAGTTGAGTGAGAGAAATTAGCTCATCAATTTCGATGCAAAGAGAAATGAAATTCGCGAAGTCTGGTTTCTCTAGACATCTTAATGCACCTCCACTGGGACATTGGTGAATAATGATTTTACATCAAAAGAAACCATGAGTAAATTACTAGGAGAAATGTTTTTTAACTTTTTTTACAAACTCTATTGAATTTTTTTATGGTGTAAATGTTATTGTCTAATAGAGGGAAAATCTAGAAACTAAATATTTCTAAAGGGATACGAGGCAGTACCTAAATTTGATACAATAGGGCGGAAAGGAATACCACTTTTATGAATTTTGGGAAGAGATATAATCTGCACAATTCGCAACAGATGGGATAAGCGAATGTTTTAAGTTGCTTGAAATGATTTGCGAAGATTTGATCGCAGTTTTTATTTTGGATAAGTCCGAAGGTGAAGGATCTTTAGGGATCGGATTATATGGTCCTTCGTTTAAGAGTTTAGTGACACCATCGATGTAAGTGTTCTTATCCAGACGACTATCTGGCCACCTTGTCGGCCTTTGAAATGATAATATCCGGGTTAGAATGAATTTCGCGCATTGTAGCTCTTTCTCTCGAAGTAGATTGGTTTCAAAGGTTTATTATTGAATTTCACATTATGAGCGATAGATGCCTAATCATTCTTTCTGTGAATCTGAAACTTTACTGAACTTGAAAGCTTTTTCGATAGGAGCCAAAATCTTTGGAATCGAGGGTTTACAGGTTTGTGAAGAAGTTAAAATTATATTTTAGAATTCTCTCTTGTTCTTCTGAAAGACTAACATTAGAAATATTAACTATTGGCTTGATGTTTTACAATGGGGAGATTTTTTGAACTACTTGAACTGGAAGACTGTAAAGAAGTTTTTCGAATTTAACTGCAAGGGTGTTTTTATGACGGTTAACTGCATTCTCCGTTCTAGACCAAGACTTTTGTTCAAGGGCAGTGAATTTTGGATATGATTTAGCGAGTTCCAGATGAAGCTTATAGAGTTCATGTTCAATTTCGGACAATTGTTGACGTGTATCCCTTATCCCGACCGAAGTAAGGCAAGCTTGCAATTTAACAGAATTCTTGAAACGCGGACTCGAAGGTTTTTGATTAGATTTATTTGAATAAAATTGGGGATCAATTTTTTACATTACATTTAAGTAAAATTCAGATATTCAGGAATTTTTGCCGTTTTCAGGCGTAATTTAGTGAAACGATTAACGGATGAAGCATGATAAACAATGCAGAAAATCAAACTAAATTAACTAGCAATAATAAAGTACACACAAACAGCAGAAAATCCCTCACTGAAATGATAGAAAACAAAACGTTTGTAAGCAAAATGCATGAAATCAGACAAGCAAACCACAATATCCAAATGTACAAAACATAAACATAACTTGAAAATTTCAAAAATGTACTCACCGAAACTCCTACAATCACAAAATGGCGGCCACACCACGTGCAAAAAAGAAAGCAAAATGTAAGCCTGTTTGGGGCTTCTATAATTAAGACACAATAATTTTGTTGTTTGACTTCTGAATTAGTATTTATTCGGCGTGTTATTGTGTCTTAAGCATCAAAGTAGTTTATGATGCGTAAATCTTTCTTTTCCTAGCAGTTTTTCACTATTGCCAAATGGCTTTCTTTCTCCTCCTTCTTTTTCTCCTTTCAGATAAAGGGTAAAATATCCTTTGCTTTGTATAATGGCTTCGTTTTTATTTGATGATAAACTACAAAATGTCATCATACTAAATTTGTGGGGGTAATGAAAGAATTTTTAAAAATGAAAACAACAGATTCAGAATTTTTATTACTTATTTTTGGTTTCGGTTTCGAGTTTGATGTAGCATTTGGTAAGAAACACCGTGAAACTTGCCGATTGATTCTTGATCTCCACTGAAAGAGACAATTACCACGTATTTGAATTCTTATAAAATATTTGTCTGAAATGCCGCCCAACCGGGATTGTGGTAGTGAGCTG